GGAAATTCTGAAATCAACATTGCAAATAAAAACGGGCTGATAACACAAACTTGTCTGACTCCACTTAAACTAACAAAATAATCAGTAATAGTAGTGTTGGATACTCTTACAGCTGCTTTTATATTCGAATACATATTTCTCAGTACAGAGAATAATTTACGATGAATACCTTTATTAATTATAGAATGCCACAGTAATTTCTATTAAAAGAATCAAATGCTTTCTTGAAGTTTACATAAATACAGTAAAAACGTCCCCAAATTTTAGATAAATACTTTTGTACAAGACATTGCAAAGTGAAACTATTATCCGTTGTGCAATAGCCTTTCCTAACTCCTGCCTGGGCCTCAGGTATAATGTTAAAGTGATCGGAAAAACGTTTAAGACGCCCATTTAGAATAGAGCAGAATAACTTCCCAAAAATATCCATCAAAGTCATGTCTCTATAATTATTAACACAGTCGAAGCTTCCTTTTTTATGGAGTGGTACAATAACACTCTCAGCCCATTCTGATGGAAAATTACCCGTTGACAAAATAGTATTATACATAACTAACAAATATGGAATTAAAACAGTTCTGCAGCATTGGATCATGTCGGCCATAATACCATCTGGTCCTACAGCTTTACCCTGCTTCAGATCTCTTATGAATGATTCGATCTCTTCCTGTGTAATATCATCATTAAGAATATTATTATATCATCATCAGTACAGAAATCACACAATTGTTCATTATAGTTATTTATAACCTAATCTATCTGCTCAATGACACACACATCATCTCTGGTACTGCGGGCACGTCAAATGCATCCGATACATACTTCATGTCTTATAAACATGTAATAAATCTGTTGTTGTCGTCGATAATCAAATCTTTCAAATTACCAGACCCGTGAAGATTCCGGGGTAGAATACATGTAGGTCTTCAGCAACCCATGCTTGTCGTAAAAGGTGACTATGTTTGTCGTAAAAGGCGACTAACGGGATTGGGTGGTCAGGCTCGCTGACTTGGTTGATGCATGTCATCGATCCCAATACTTATCATATTATTCACTGGATTGTCTGGTCCAGACTGTATTATTTACAGACCGCCGTCATATAGCTGGAATATTGCTGAGCGCGGCGTTAAACGACAAACCAATCAACCAACCAATCAAATTACCACAGCATACATTATAGTCACCAGGAAGAATAATTTCCCAATCTGGGTGTTCATGTAACACAGCAGACAAGCTTTTATCTAAGTACTCTAGACCCTTAGGGACTCTATTGTCTGTCATTACTAAGTACAAATGTATACTGAACAACAAAAGTTCCTGTGACATTGAATAAGATTTAATGCAAAGTTATGCTTTTTACCAAATCCGAAACAATTTCGGTTTGCTATGGATAAAAGACTCCTGTAAGTGTTCAAATGGTTTAATTTCCCATACAGACTTCAGAAAATGCGTGATTTCATAAAAAAAATCAAACCAATCAAATTACATAATTGACATAATCAATAAATAAACATAATCAGTAGCGTGTGTGTCCACCTCTGGCAAGCAACACATCTTCGTCTCATGGAATGGACCAGGCGTTGCACAAAGTCCTGTGGGATATCTGTCCATATCTGCTGGAGCATGTTTCGAAGTACCTGCAGTGTCTGTGGAACACGTCGAAGGTTGTCTCTCCATCTCATCCCACATGTGCTCGATTGGTGAGAGATCAGGGGAGCGAGCCGGCCAGGGAATGACATTCACGTTGTTTTGTTGAAGAGAATCCTGAACAAGTCGAGCAATTTGAGGCCGGGCGTTGTCATCTTGAAAGGTAATGCATGGACCATGACGACGCAAAAACGGTAGAACAACAGGGCCGATGATCTCATCGCGGTAGCGCCGTCTATTGAGATTTATCTCTACCACTATCAAACAGGTCCTCTGTCTTGCTGTAATCCCACCCCATACCATAACGCTGCCGCCCCCGAACCGATCTTCTTCCATGACACAATGATTGACGTAACGTTCACCTCGACGTCGGTACACTCGAATCCGTCCATCGCTGTGGCTGAGGTGAAAACGAGACTCGTCAGTGAATAGAACTTGTCCTCAGTGCATGACATTCCAGCGTAGACGCTGTCTGCACCACTGTAGACGTGCTTGAAGGCCAGGGATGCTTCTTGCAGTCACTATTGCTGGCTGGAATCGACTTCGTAGGTGTGTTGTTCGAATCCAGTTGTCTTGTCGATTATTGGTTACACGTGGCCTGCCACTCCGAGGATGGTCTCTGACTGCATTCGTCTGTTGCCAACGTTGTCATAAACATCAAATGGTGTTACTGTGGACGTTAAATTGTCTTGCAACATCACGTTGACTCGATCCTGCTTCAAGCATACCAATGACTCGCACACGCTCATTTTCGGACAGGCGTTGTTTTTCGTAATGTTGAATAGTTGCTTAATTTTGTTGTTTTTCTGAGTGGCTGTTGTCAGCACGATGCTAAACAATGCATATGGAATCCCGTTAACGCACATGTTTTCATACCCATGCTTGGGTAGTGAAATGCATGGGACTTGCATAAAAGTCATCTTTTGCATGGAATGCATGCTTTTCTGTTGCAGTTGGGTTTTTTGTGACTTGATTTCCTTGCATGTACTACAATATTGAAAACCAGACTTTACTTGTTTGAAAAATACACTAAAATATTGGTGTCACAGGAACTTTTGTTGTTGAGTATATTAACAGGATGCACAAAACCAACAAGTAAATTACGTGTGAGATTATATATACTCTTATCAAGTAACAGAAATATCATGTCTCTGTAGTCAATAATAACACGGCGCAGACCATGTGATAGTGAAGTGTGAACACACACAGACACGCCCTCTCGGTAGTTTACCCTCTGCAGTTCGTGTAGACACGGTACTCGGGGAACAAAGTCTCTATGCTTTCCTTTGTGCAGTGTATCTCTAGAAGACCAAAGATACTGTAATCAGTGCAAATAAACTTCAATAAAACTTTATGATTTATTCTATCAAATGCCTTTGAAAAATCAACGAAGATGCTATAAAATCTACCATTAGTTTTTGGAGAGATATTTGTGCAAATGCCTGTAATGCCAAAAAGTGATCAATAGAAAAATATCCGGATCAAAATCCAGCTTAAGAGCTTAATATTCGTGTATAATATTATTAATGTCACACCAGGATTGTAATATTTTATCCAGAATATATGTCAGAACTTTGCACAGTGAGTAAATAAGAGATATGCCCCTGTAATTATCTGTAATATAAAACAAGCTACATACATCAATGTTTGTTGATTCATGCACATGTCTACATGCTCGTTGAGAGGTCAGATGAAGTGAAATGAGGGCTAACGTCACATTCACTTCCCTAGCTACTCGCACTTTGTAAAGGGTCATGCGATTATTCATTTGACCGCTTACACATATGCTAGTTTTGTCGCGGTACCTCATAGTACACATTATCCTCCACAGTGGATATACATGCATATAGTGCTGTTCGTCCTTGATATTGCTTCCTGTATAAGGATAGAGTTCACATGGTCCAAAGCAGTGCTTCCTATACATATATATAGTTCACATTATCACAGAGGGTGCCTCCTATACCCGCATATAGTTCGCATCGTCCATGCGATACCATGCTGCTGACCAAAGCCCTAGAAACTCGCACAAGCCATGCTGCCAAACACGGTCACCCTTCCATCAACTTTCCACGAGCAACGTTGCTTAACGTCGCCTGATTTGTGACCTGTGCTTTGTACACGGGGTGCCGTACAATCAATAATGTGAACTATATGTACGCTAAGGACAATGGGGGTTATTATACATATGTAATTATAAATTAACATATATATACATATTAGGAAACTCTGCCTGGGACGATGCGAACTATATGCGGGAATAGGGGGCACACTCTGTGATAACTATATACACGAATAGCAAGCACTGCGTTTGTAGAAAGCACTGACAGCGACAATGGGAAGTATATACATGAATAGGAAGCGCTTTCTGGAATAATGTAAACTATTTGCGTGTGTAGGAAGTACTTGCAGCGAAAATGGGAAGTGATATACGTGTATGGGAAGTACTGTCTGGCACAATGTGAGCTATACACTTACTGAAAGCACTGCTCGGAACAATGAGATTGTTTTGAACATTTAATGTTAGAAACAATATGTATCTAGGCCCTGGATACTATGTCATCATACCAAACATTAACACAAATGTGAAACGTATCAATGTACCAATCAGCCTCCCAAACGGTAGATGAATAACACCAAACCAACAAATTAAGAGACAATAAATCAGAAATTCAAAAGAGAACGTGTTTATTTCAAAACGGTTGAAAAATTAACAAATACAATTGATTGTTATATATGATATAACACAAGTATTGTTCAATATTGTTTCTATTAAAGATGATATACGAATCTTCACACATGATCACACATATATTGATAGTTGCTTTAAGCACCACATCAACAATATATTATACACTATCATACAATGACAAAACATAAAAAACACCTCCTTTATAGATCTATGAAATAGTGCAAGTCATACATATAGAATATGTTTATGTCCTTGACGAATAAATTATACAATGCCAAAAACATATACTGCCAATAATAATGCTACTTGTATTCTTTGATTAAACGCTTTGATGGTGTAACTGATGGATTTACTAACTTAATTGGTTACCAATTCGTTTAGTTCTCATAAAGTGTAGGCATTATAATCAGGTATAATGTTAACTGACATTTCCGTTAATAATTCCAGCATTATTAGTGAAATGCCATACCTAAATGTACTTGGCATTACATATTTAGTATGAAGACAGTTGAACACAAATGTCAAAAATGTAATGTATTCTGTGATTTAGGCATCTTATAAACCAGGACTAGTAGTGTGGGCTATACATGGTGGAACACCAAAATGTTATGTTTCAAGTCTTCGGGGTTTATTTGTTGAACTAAAGGGTAGGCCAAGCAACCTCTCATCTCCGCCATTCGGTTAAATCGATTGTTGGAAGATCGTTGCAGGGTATCAAAGGATTGCTGTGAAATACAAAAATGTGTCACCCAGTTAAAATATTAACATTTCCGTCAGCATATTTCATATGATCTGGTTTGATATTCGTATCCTATATAACTGAATGAGCTTGAATATGTTACATTCAAAGTGTGTCACGAGGTGTAAATGGATCCAGGATACAGTTTTGATCAATGTTCACTAAATGAAGTACGCCAGATATACCCTGTCGCATGTTAATATGAGGTCTGTCTGTGCGAGATAATTAATTACTGACGAACAAAGGAGATGAATGTCTTCATTGCCTACCTTTCTTTTGAGTACACTGTAAAAGGATCTCTTTGGATGGACTTCACTCCTGAATTCCTACAAAGAATTTTGGCAAAGCGCATTCGTCGGATCTCAGACAGTTGTCCTGAAATAGAAAACGCAATAAATATTTATATATACAATTACTTTTGACAGCAAGAGAGTATCTTTTTTCCAAACTATTGTCAGTGAAACACTAAAACATTTTGACATCTTGAACTAGAAATGCAATAAAATTCATAATATGATATAACATTCTCATCTTAAAGGCATATTAAGTTATCTAATAAGTACATAGTTTGACATCAACAAAATAGTTTAACAAAACATACAAGCACACAGGAACAGACTGGACGGTACCTAATGTAAAGCCCTTTCTTGGATGGGATGTTTCGAACCAGAATGAGTCGCCATATTTCAGGTCATGGAACTGTTGACCAATCAGACAAGCGAGGAGAGGGCCCACTGCACCGCCATGCACGTGCTGTTCAGCTACTGCACCGGTGAAGACGTCGATGTCATCAGGGGATCTGAAGCAAGAATACATAAACGTAAGGAGATCTTGAGAAATGTCAAATAAGGGTTAAAGTATCTTTATTTAATAAATTTGTTACAATAACTCTGTACACATATAAGAGTAAATTAAATTAGACAAACCTGTATACACTTTTCAAAGCAGCTCCTGCTTTACCAAATATACTGTCATCAAATGAAGTCACTTCCGATAGCTGACATGCCTTGCGGAAGCTGTTGTATGATGGCAGGCCGTGGTCACGACCTCTCTGAATGTTCAAGGACACGATGTCAAAGCCATTATTGCCCGACGTCTCAAACAAATGCTCAGTCATCCCACTGTTGATGAATCGGTTAACCTCCTGATGTCTGTCCTTGAGGATAGCCTTCAGCACGGTGTCCAGATCTTTGATGACTTCAGAAGGTCTGAAGAAGAGCTGTTCTATGGGTACACGTCTATCTCCGAGGGTCAGGAAACGTGGAATGGTGGAGTGGCCGTATCTGAAGGCGGCGGTGGCGAAAACGTTGTAGATGGTGGGGTTTTGGGTGAAGTTGTACCTGAAGCTGAAGCCAGGTGTCAGTCTGTACTTTCTCATGGCCAAGGGCCCAACAATAATGGGCAGCCATTCGCGGTAGGTGACTTGTTGGATGATGGCTGACACGATCTTTCTGGCCTCTTCAAACAAGACATCATCAGGAGTCGTCGATGGCATGACATCAGCAAGTTCTTTGACAAGACGATTGTGTTCGCGGACAAACACGGTGTGTAGCACTGCCAGACCAGGGAACACGTTCACACGGTCGTCACCTGATGATGGAGTTAGTTATAAAGAAGTTGTGACAGTGTTGTAAATTAACCAGATCATTCGAAATTTACCAAATAGTCATGGGTGAAGTGCAATATAAAAAGATTCTGAAAATAGTACTACGGATACATTAATAAGTTGTATTTACCAGCTTCAAAACACCATTCGTTCGTATTGCTTGTTCGACAGTTGCCTTGGTTGGATTCTGGCAACAGGTTATCTCCCTTGGTTTTCATGTAGGCTGAAAAGTTGAATGACGACATTAATTTGTATATACCAATTACTCTCTGGGGTATTTTGTCAAATTTTAAAATATTTGTTTGATCATGAATTATTATTTAAAACAAAATATTGCCTGACTTACGTCCATTCCTGAGGTGATTGATCTGATCCTGACTGAGTCCGTACACGTTAGAGGCGTCCACAAAGGACGTCAGTAGGTTCAACTGTTCTCGAGTATCTGGAAGTGACATGGTTTTTAATTAAATATGGATGTTATCATGGCTGTTTGTTTATGGCTTTCGTTACTTAATAAGATGAGCATAAAAATAATGACAGAACAATCCTACGTTGAGATGAGGCTACTTTCACAGCCTTGTATTCATATACTCACTCCTTCCAGGTGCTGGGGCTGATCTTTTGAACTCCATGCAGTTCTTTTGGAAATGTCCTTCATTTACTGGCATGGTGATTGGGAAACAAGGACCGCTGGAACAGTGAAATACCAAAAGAATTAACACGTTTCCTATTTCAAATCAACCATTGTTATCATAATGTTTATGATATGTTATGATACACAAACACATGCTTATGATGTAGTCGGAATCTTATAGTAGACTTTTATAATCATGGAAAATATAGTCTCCCTTTCATGCTTCTTAAAATCATGTATACAATGTCATGTAATTTTAAAGTATATTATTTCTGATTCATTTATTTAAAATATCACGACTAGTTATTTCAGTTAACACAATGATTAAGTGTGGAAAATATAGAATGTTAATTGCTTACCCAGCTCGTACATCAGAATGCATCTCTCCAGGTGTGTGACCATCGCAACATTTAGATTGAACATCACCTTGAAGGAATATGAGGATTTGTTAAATTAATACAAAGATTTAGATGCATATCGTAATTATTGAAATAGGTTCGAAAAATATGGATCACAAAAACAAATATATCACAGTTTGTCTGATTTCATCATCACACGTCAGGTCATTTTGATGGTCAGAGGGTATTGGCAATTTGGCACGTACCTGCATGAAGAGGAGTTCCGGTGAGATCGTGGTCCACAAATTGCCCCCACTGCATCACCATCACCGTGTGGTCGTCAGAAGGACTGTCAACTCCCGGATGGACGGCCACACTGATGGCGCGTGGACTGGGAAGGGGAAAACCATCAACGCCTCTCATTCGGGGAACGAACTTGCCTGAAAAGTCAAACCTTTGCTTTTAAAGTTCACTAAAGTATGGTTAGTTGTGATATTGATGGGGCATAACTAAATGTCCCCATTGGAATACTTACAAGACTTGCTTCCAAACGGTCTGATTTATTTATGAAAATCGCCTTGGTTATAAGCATGAAATAATGATTTTTAAGTTCTAATATCAATGTGAAGAAAATCTGTTCTTTACCATCATCATATGCAGGATCAATAAATCTCTTGAATTGTTGGTTGGTTGAACCCCAGGTTGGCCAGCGAACATTGTTGCAACTTCCGTCCATTGTCCGGTAGCGGGCGTCTTGTCTGCAGTCGATAGAGCGCCGTCTGTAAAAGTGAATGGTGTTATCAAGTCCAATGATAATTGGTGTATGTATCAACTACATTAAACTTTCAACCACAAACGAAGTGTCCATATATGAGAATTAGTACGAAACTGACCTGATGGTGTGTTTGTCTTGATACTTGGATGTGCTGATGTCTTCTAAGGAGATCTGAGACGTCTCGGCGGCGTCAGCCAGTGTACAAACAACGTACCTGTCTTCCTCATCACCTACTTCAAAGTAAAGGCATTAATACACTGCCGGCTATCATGGGACAATTTCAGAGTCCTTTAACTTCGAAAGTCTGATCAAAGGTCGCACCATCTGAACTGGATGATGTTCTATATTGAAAATGATGTTTGAGAACGCGTATCAGCATAATATTTGTTTTAAATAATCGGAATTTGTCATCTGTATGTCCCATATGCAATAAATCCCCTGAAACATATAAGTTTAAGTATGATCAGATTTGTCAGTTAACCCAATAGACAAATCATGGATAGTGATGCCGTTAATGTGGAATAATGAGACTTCTTACCATGCAGGAGTCTGAAAAAGATGTCCATTATTCTGTTTTCTCTGTCCAGCGTTTGTCCATCAACTAGTCCTTGGTGGTCACCCGAAGTCGTTGGTGAAGTTTGTGTCGCACCAGCAACATCTAATAGGTAAATAAGTACACAGTATAGAGAAATAGGGCTGTCACAGATTATGAATCCTATCACAAAACTTTCATCCTTCGCCACCCCATATTTTGTTCTATCGAGTGGCATTAAACCGGGTTTTTGAATCCGTCTGGAAATATCAACACAAGTCATTGCATGTGCATCTTTCAGGGAATACCCAAACACATATTTATTCATCTTATCTCTCAATCTTAGAATTCAAGAGAATATCATTATCTCCAACAATCGTTTCTTCAAATGTGTACCCCGAAGTGTTACAATGTAACCGGTGTGAACTTACTGTTCGTTGATGACTCATCAGTGACATCGTCAAGGAATTTCGTGTTCATCTCATGATCCATTCCAACCAGATCTGATTGTATAGCCTTGACTGAAGGAAAGGTAGTTTACTCAAACAACTGGTATCACAAAATATAATATCCGTACATTAAAACATTCAAACTATATTTAGTAAGATTGATTTCATCAAATGTTCGTCACTACATTGAAGGACCAAGCATAATAGTAAGTAGAAAGTTGGCATCTTTAACACAGATATCTCATTATTTCAGCATATTACATGATGCCAGTTGCGTGAGTAACGCCCAAGCAGATGAAACTAAAATAGTATTATTCAATCCTTCACTATAGCTTGTCAAGATTTGGTTCATAATTTTTAAAACACTATACTCACGTTGCTCAATGACGGAATCTATGTGGTTAACCTATAAGGGAATGAGTAAACATAGGTTAAATAATCGGTCTAGGGTAAAACAGATGTGATAATCTCAAACACCGTATGCCACCCGTTACTTTGAACATGATGAGAGAAAGAAGTTTCAGAACAATAAACCCAGAGTAAGTAATTACATGACATTTCTTATATATACTGATTTTCTACAGACATTCATGACTAGCCAGATAAATACCAATACTGATAATGAGAAGAAAAAAAACACAACCTACCTCTGTGTCCGCCTCTCCAGCAGTGACCACGGTCAACATACAAACAAACAACACAACTTTCATCGTTTCTGCTTCTGTCCAGTACAAAGTGGGAATGTCTGATACACCAAAGATGGGACCTTGTATTTATACTCATATTCCTGGATTAAATCAACACAGATTACCCCAGAATTCACACTCCCCTGCTGGGTATTATCCGACATATCTACATGGGGGAGCTAAACATCTTGGATTATGCGGAGGCAGGCTGATTATCCCGGAGCAGCGTCATCACCGTCATTGTTCTTGGTGTGGTGTATAAACATCAATAACGAGGCAGTTGGTAACTGTTTCTCACCAGGGGGTATTAACAGAGTGCATTTTTGAGATTATATATAATAGTAACATATTAATAATAACTGAAACCGGAGAAAATGTAAGTTTCTTGTTAATTGACTAAAAATAGTAATAAAATAATTCATGTCTCCCACAATCACTATGAACTTCTCCATAAGATATGTCACGTGACCCTTCCCTTGAGATATGTAGTTCTTTTAGCTTGAACATCACAAGGACCTTATCAGTGTATTCGCTTTAGGGTTACTCTTGTTTGTGTATTCGGTCTTGCTGTTGTAATCGCTCTACTAATGTACTTTGAGAACATATATTCAGTACACCATCTCTCCCGAATTCATTTTCATTCGCAGTTAAGTTGTAGTAGTAGTAGTAGTAGTAGTAGTAGTAGTAGTAGTAGTAGTAGTAGTAGTAGCAGTAGTAGTAGTAGTTGTAGTAGTAGTAGTAGTAGTAGCAGTATTAGGATCGATGACATGTATCAACCAAGTCAGTGAGCCGGACCACCCGATCCCGTTAGTCGCATTTTACAAGCATAGTCGCCTTTTACGACAAGTATGGGTTGCTGAAGACCAATTCTACCCCGGAATCTTCATGGGGCAGTAGTAGTAGTAGTAGTAGTAGTAGTAGTAGTAGTAGTAGTAGTAGCAGTAGTAGTAGTAGTAGTAGTAGTAGTAGTAGTAGCAGTAGTTTGTTGTTTAAGTAACACTGTTGCAGTAGTGGTATGCAATGTGTGTCGCAAGTGTCACGTGCTCATGTCATCTGCAAAAGTTTCTCATTTCCATACTCGATGAAACATACATACTGACTGTTGCATATATCAACGTTGACAACCAGTACTAACTTTCTAGAATTATAATTGAGATATGTATGTACCATATAAAATGTACGACTTGACTTCGTGTTTATGAATAAGTGGAAAATTAGTTCCTATTAGCAATATCAATGATTGACAATTAGTTTAAAATGTTGATCCTATATGTATTATTTCATTACATTGAGGGACTAGAAAATCCTCCAGACACAAAACGTAGTGACCACTTCAATGCATTTGTCTCCCAGTACTTGTCTACAAAGCTTGTCAAGAACAACTCGTGATGAGAAGCGGATTACCAACTGTCTCATTGTAATGATACCACTCTTAGAACAATTACAGTTGATGACGACACGCCCAGATCAACACCATTCATTAATATAATCCCGGATTTGTGATAAAAACAAGATGGAAACTTATCACGGATTATCATCAGCGACAGCGGATTACGGGATAATCTGTTTTTGTGTATTCGGCAAACATGGTTGTCCAAATATGTAAGAACAATGCTCGATCTATCCGCTCTCATATGCCAAATGTTAATACAATCATTGCTTTTTAGAGCAACCTACATGTGCATCTGCATTCCTCTATAGCACGTTCAGTGCTTTTAATGTATCTTTTAAAAGTATATATATTCATATACATACAATAATACGATACAATAATACGAATATTTAAATATCCTGTATACACAGGTGTTAATATTAAATACTTGTTTTCCCATTTCTCATTGTAAAACCTTCAGTTAAGAAAATAGACAAATGTTATCTCTGAAGGGTGAGTGAGGGAGTATCTTTTTACGCCGCTTTTGACAATTTTCGAGCAATATCAAGGCGTCGGACACCAGAAATGAGCTTCACACATTGTATCCATGTGGGGAATCGAGCCCGTGTCTTCGGTGTGACGAGCGAACAATTTAACCACTAGGTTACCACACCGATCCTCTCTCTGAAGAATTCATAAGGGCGATAATGTTTCAGTTCCTGGATTATCTGTATAATATTGTTGTATATATTGCTTTTTGAGCTGGGAGTAGCGTTCACATATCCTTATCACACGGTATTCATCTTCTACACTCCTCTTATTTTTCTTCAAACATAATTCGCAATATCTTTCATCATGAGGAATATTATTGTGTCTTCCAATCTGAACACATAATCCAAAAATATTACATCTAAATTTTGCTTAATGCCAATTAATATATTGAGGTATGTTTATTGTTAGATATTATTCAGTATTGTGAAGTGATGTATATTGTTTATAGTAGTTGCACTTTGATCAACTTTCCAAGGATGAGTGCCAATTTGTTGGAGAGCTTTGTTTAAATTCGTTTTAAAGATTTCAGCATCTCCCATGTTCTGCTGAATCCAGACTATACCAAATCCTTGGTGAAATACAATATTCCTAATTGAAGTAATCCATGTTTGTCTTCCAGCATTATCAATAGATATATGTATAATGTAAATCTGATATGGTAGTCTATTATTGTAGAGGTGAATTAATATAGTCCAGTATTTTATATCTATTGTCATGTAAATACATTCTCTGCCAGGCTGCCACACTCTCCAAGAACCATGTTATTAAGAGTAATATTATTAAATCTAGGGAATCGTTTGCCGAATACAGTCTATGTACTTTCCATTTACTTGTTATATGAAGTTCCCCAGATTTCAGCACCATAACACAATATTGGAACTATCATGCCGTCAAACGTTTTCAAGTTGTCTTCATGTGATAAATATCCGAATTTCTTTTGATAATTAAAGATGTTGATGAGTGATTTCTTGGCTTGAGCAGAAAGTAAGTTTATTTTCTGCTTCGAAGGCCGTCGGCCCATGTACACAGTTGATACAACAATATCCATAGACAGACAGAGAGACAGAAAGACAGAGAGACAGACAGTCAGACAGACAGACAGACAGACAGATGTTTGATGAATTTCTCAACAATACATATGCCGCGCAATCAAATATGAAATGGAGTTCATCTTCAATGCTTTTAGTATTACACATCCTACAAATTCGGTTAACAGTTATAGCTTCTTTACATCTGATATTACAGCGCAACGGCAGTTCATGCAATCTCAACAAGCAGATATATCTTCTTAATTCCCTAACATTGATGTTTGTAACATCATATTCAACAGTCAGCAATGACTTAATATTCGTATCATGTGCAAGTCGTTTTGAATCATTGATAATACTAAATATGTTTTGTTTTCCACAATCTTCTAATCTCTGTCTGAACACCGACAGAAAATATGAAAAATCTCCAATATCTTGACTAACCCATCCATATCCGAAACCATACGTGTATAACAACAATCTTACAGCCCCACACCTCCGCCCCATATAACAAAAAAGGTTTTATCTTACAATCAAACAACTTAAATAACATATTTCCAGGAATATTTGGGTGTTTATGCTGTAATTTAGCTTTAGTGGCTTTTGAAACAAGAGTATTTGTACATACTGTCAACCTAGTAGAAAACATAATACCTAAAAAATTATAATAGGTTGATGTCTTTAGTAGCTCTCCATCAAAATACCACTTCTCATAATGTCGTAAATAACCACCATTTAGAAAAAAACTAATATTTCTGTCTTATCCATATTTATCTGTAAGCCCCATGATTTACTATATTTACATAAAATATCAATCTTTCTTTGCAAACCAATAACACTGTAATCAAAAATACAGAAATCATCAGCATACAATAATAACAGGAGTTCCAAATAATCTACACCTATGTATATACCTCTTACATCTGCATTTTCCATCAATGATGGAAATTCTGAAATCAACATTGCAAATAAAAACGGGCTGATAACACAAACTTGTCTGACTCTACTTAAACTATCAAAATAATCAGTAATAGTAGTGTTGGATACTCTTAAAGCTGCTTTTATATTCGAATACATATTTCTCAGTACAGAGAATAATTTACGATGAATACCTTTATTAATTATTGAATACCACAGTAATTTCCTATTAAAAGAATCAAATGCTTTCTTGAAGTTTACATAAATACAGTAAAAACGTCCCCAAATTTTAGATAAATACTTTTGTACACGACATTGCAAAGTGAAACTATTATCCGTTGTGCAATAGCCTTTCCTAACACCTGCCTGGGCCTCAGGTATAATGTTAAAGTGATCGGAAAAACGTTTAAGACGCCCATTTAGAATAGAGCAGAATAACTTCCCAAAAATATCCATCAAAGATATGCCTCTAATTATTAACACAGTCGAAGCTTCCTTTTTTATGGAGTGGTACAATAACACTCTCAGCCCATTCTGATGGAAAATTACCCGTTGACAAAATAGTATTATACATAACTAACAAATATGGAATTAAAACAGTTCTGCAGCATTGGATCATGTCAGCCGTAATACCATCTGGTCCTGCAGCTTTACCCTGCTTCAGATCTCTTATGAATGATTCGATCTCTTCCTGTGTAATATCATCATTAAGAATATTATTATATCATCATCAGTACAGAAATCACACAATTGTTCATTATAGTTATTTATAACCTAATCTATCTGCTCAATGATATCCGAGTCCACAAGTATATCAGTATGGTTTAAAATATTCAGTCTTAATATAATCAAACCAATCTTCTTGGCAAATCTGGGTGGAAAGAGGACCACAACTTGTCTTCTTTGTCAATGCGATTATGTTGAATATTTAGAAAGAATCTCCTTATCACCAATAACTTGTCTAATACATTAAACTTTTTAGTCTTCATATCCTCACAGTCTTTATCGTAGCATTTTTTATCCAGATGTAAGTTTTGATTATCTAGCCCTAGAAAGTAATCCGCATGAAATAGAACCACTATGTACAGCATTGGTCAAAGCTTCAACAGCTAAATCAACATTCAAAGACAATAAATGCATAAACTCATCCATGTGAAGTGCAGACAATGACTCAAAAACAGTATGTTTGAAGGCATCACATATTTCATTTCTCCATGTATATCTGGGAATATTATTCACATGCATTGCATTAACATTATTGACCTGTCTATCACATCCATGGAGGGTAAGTAGGAAAGGAAAGTGACCTGATTCATAGCTTGTCAAAAAAAATAGTTGAGCATAGTACATAATCAACCAAACTAGCGCCACCTTCCTTAAAACAAGTAAATGATCCCCAGCAAATCGTCCATTTACAATATGGACAGAAAACGTACAACAAAAGTCTACCAGATCCCTCCCGTAATCATTACACACATCATCTCTGGTACTGCGGGGCACGTCAAATGCATCCGATACATACTTCTTATAAACATGTAATAAATCTGTTGTTGTCGTCGATAATAAAATCTTTCAAATTACCAGACCCGTGAAGATTCCGGGGTAGAATACATGTAGGTCTTCAGCAACCAATGCTTGTCGTAAAAGGTGACTAAGTTTGTCGTAAAATGCGACTATCGGCATTGGGTGGTCAGGCTCGCTGATTTGGTTGATGCATGTCATCGATCCCAATTGCGTGGATCGATGCTCATGATATTATTCACTGGATTGTCTGGTCCAGACTGTATTATTTACAGACCGCCGTCATATAGCTGGAATATTGCTGAGCGCGGCGTTAAACGACAAACCAATCAACCAACCAATCAAATTACCACAGCGTACATTATAGTCACCAGGAAGAATAATTTCCCAATCTGGGTGTTCATGTAACACAGCAGACAAGCTTTTATCTAAGTACTCTAGACCCTTAGGGACTCTATTGTCTGTCATTACTAAGTACAAATGTATACTGAACAACAAAAGTTCCTGTGACATTGAATAAGATTTAATGCAAAGTTATGCTTTTTACAAAATCCGAAACAATTTCGGTTTGCTATGGATAAAAGACTGTTCAAATGGTTAATTTCCCATACAGACTTCAGAAAAAGCGTGATTTCATAAAAAAAAATCAAACCAATCAAATTACATAATTGACATAATCAATAAATAAACATAATCAGTAGCGTGTGTGTCCACCTCTGGCAAGCAACACATCTTCGTTTCATGGAATAGACCAGGCGTTGCACAAAGTCCTGTGGGATATCTGTCCATATCTGCTGGAGCATGTTTCGAAGTTCCTGCAGTGTCTGTGGAACACGTCGAAGGTTGTCTCTCCATCTCATCCCACATGTGCTCGATTGGTGAGAGATCAGGGGAGCGAGCCGGCCAGGGAATGACATTCACATTGTTTTGTTGAAGAAAATCCTGAACAAGTCGAGCAATTTGAGGCCGGGCGTTGTCATGTTGAAAGGTAATGCCTGGGCCATGACGACGCAAAAACGGTAGAACAACAGGGTTGATGATCTCGTCGCGGTAGCGCTGTCCATTGAGATTTATCTCTACCACTATCAAACAGGTCCTCTGTCTTGCTGTAATCCCACCCCATACCATAACGCTGCCGCCCCCGAACCGATCTTCTTCCATGACACAATGATTGACGTAACGTTCACCTCGACGTCGGTACACGCGAATCCGTCCATCGCTGTGGCTGAGGTGAAAACGAGACTCGTCAGTGAATAGAACTTGTTCTCAGTGCATGACCGTCCAGCGTAGACGTTGTCTGCACCACTGTAGACGTGCTTGAAGGCCAGGGATGCTTCTTGCAGTCACTGTTGCTGGCTGGAATCGACTTCGTAGGTATGTTGTTCGAATCAAGTTGTCTTGTCGATTATTGGTTACACGTGGCCTGCCACTCCGAGGATGGTCTCTGACTGCATTCGTCTGTTGCCAACGTTGCCATAAACACCTTTCCTGTGGACATTAAATTGTCTTGCAACATCACGTTGACTCGATCCTGCTTCAAGCATACCAATGACTCGCACACGCTCATTTTCGGACAGGCGTTGTTTTTCGTAATGTTGAATAGTTACGTAATTTTGTTGTTTTTCTGAGTGGTTGTCAGCACGATGCTAAACAATGCATATGGAATCCCGTTAACGCACATGTTTTCATACCCATGCTTGGGTTGTGAAATGCATGGAACTTGCATAAAAGTCATCTTTTGCATGGAATACATGCTTTTCTGTAGCAGTTTGGGTTTTTGTGACTTGATTTCCTTGCATGTACTACAATATTGAAAACCAGACTTTACTTGTTTGAAACATACACTAAAATATTGGTGTCACAGGAACTTTTGTTGTTGAGTTTATTAACAGGATGCACAAAACCAACAAGTAAATTACGTGTGAGATTATATATACTCCTATCAAGTAACAGAAATATCATGTCTGTGTAGTCAATAATAACACGGCGCAGACCATGTGATAGTGAAGTGTGAACACACACAGACACGCCCTCTCGGTAGTTTACCCTCTGCAGTTCGTGTAGACACGGTACTCGGGGAACATAGTCTCTATGCTTTCCTTTGTGCAGTGTATCTCTAGAAGACCAAAGATACTGTGATCAGTGGAAATAAACTTCAATAAAACTTCATGATTTATTCTATCAAATGCCTTTGAAAAATCAACGAAGATGCTATAAAATCTACCATTAGTTTTTGGAGAGATATTTGTGCAAATGCCTGTAATGCCAAAAAGTGATCAATAGAAAAATATCCGGATCTAAATCCAGCTTAAGGGCTTAATATTCGTGTATAATATTATTAATGTCACACCAGGATTGTAATATTTCATCCAGAATATATGTCAGAACTTTGCACAGTGAGTAAATAAGAGATATGCCCCTGTAATTATCTGTAATATAAAACAAGCTACATACATCAATGTTTGTTGATTCATGCACATGTCTACATGCTCGTTGAGAGGTCAGATGAAGTGAAATGAGGGTTAACGTCACATTCACTTCCCTAGCTACTCGCACTTTGTAAAGGGTCATGCGATTATTCATTTGACCGCTTACACATATGCTAGTTTTGTCGCGGTACCTCATAGTACACATTATCCTCCACAGTTGATATACATGCATATAGTTCTATTCGTCCTTGATATTGCTTCCTGTATAAGGATAGAGTTCACATGGTCCAAAGCAGTGCTTCCTATACATATATATAGTTCACATTATCACAGAGGGTGCCTCCTATACCCGCATATAGTTCGCATCGTCCATGCGATACCATGCTGCTGACCAAAGCCCTAGAAACTCGCACAAGCCATGCTGCCAAACACGGTCACCCTTCCATCAACTTTCCACGAGCAACGTTGCTTAACGTCGCCTGATTTGTGACCTGTGCTTTGTACACGGGGTGCCGTACAATCAATAATGTGAACTATATGTACGCTAAGGACAATGGGGGTTATTATACATATGTAATTATAAATAAACATATATATACATATTAGGAAACTCTGCCTGGGACGATGCGAACTATATGCGGGAATAGGGGGCACACTCTGTGATAACTATATACACGAATAGCAAGCACTGCGTTTGTAGAAAGCACTGACAGCGACAATGGGAAGTATATACATGAATAGGAAGCGCTTTCTGGAATAATGTAAACTATTTGCGTGTGTAGGAAGTACTTGCAGCGAAAATGGGAAGTGATATACGTGTATGGGAAGTACTGTCTGGCATAATGTGAGCTATACACTTAGTGAAAGCACTGCTCGGAACAATGAGATTGTATGGAACATGTATTGTTAGAAACAATATGTATCTAGGCCCTGGATACTATGTCATCATACCAAACATTAACACAAATGTGAAACGTATCAATGTGCCAATCAGCCTACCAAACGGTAGATGAATAACACCAAACCAACAAATTAAGAGACAATGAATCAGAAATTCAAAAGAGAACGTGTTTATTTCAAAACGGTTGAAAAATTAACAAATACAATTGATTGTTATATATGATATAACATAAGTATTGTTCAATATGATATACGAATCTTCACACATGATCACACATATATTGATAGTTGCTTTAAGCACCACATCAATAATATATTATACAATATCATACAATGACAAAAAATACAAAACACCTCCTTTATAGATCTATGAAATAGTGCAAGTCATACATATAGAATATGTTTATGTCCTTGACGAATAAATTATACAATGCCATAAACATATACTGCCAATAATAATGCTACTTGTATGCTTTGATTAAACGCTTTGATGGTGTAACTGATGTATTTACTAACTTAATTGGTTACCAATTCGTTTTGTTCTCATAAAGTGTAGGCATTATAATCAGGTATAATGTTAACTGACATTTCCGTTAATAATTCCAGCATTATTAGTGAAATGCCATACCTAAATGTACTTGGCATTACATATGTAGTATGAAGACAGTTGAACACAAATGTCAAAAATGTAATGTATTCTGTGATTTAGGCATCTTACAAACCAGGACTAGTAGTGTGGGCTATACACGGTGGAACACCAAAATGTTATGTTTCAAGTCTTCGGGGTTTATTTGTTGAACTTAAGGGTAGGCCAAGCAACCTCTCATCTCCGCCATTTGGTTAAATCGATTGTTGGAAGATCGTTGCAGGGTATCAAAGGATTGCTGTGAAATACAAAAATGTGTCACCCAGTTAAAATATTAACATTTCCGTCAGCATATTTCATATGATCTGGTTTGATATTCGTATCCTATATAACTGAATGAGCTTGAATATGTTACATTCAAAGTGTGTCACGAGGTGTAAATGGATCCAGGATACAATTCTGATCAATGTTCACTAAATGAAGTACGCCAGATATACCCTGTCGCATGTTGATATGAGGTCTGTCTGTGCGAGATAATTAATTACTGACGAACAAAGGAGATGAATGTCTTCATTGCCTACCTTTCTTTTGAGTACACTGTAAAAGGATCTCTTTGGATAGACTTCACTCCTGAATTCCTACAAAGAATTTTGGCAAAGCGCATTCGTCGGATCTCAGACAGTTGTCCTGAAATAGAAAACGCAATAAATATTTATATATACAATTACTTTTGACAGCAAGAGAGTATCTTTTTTCCAAACTATTGTCAGTGAAACACTAAAACATTTTGACATCTTGAACTAGAAATGCAATAAAATTCATAATATGATATAACATTCTCATCTTAAAGGCATATTAAGTTATCTCATAAGTACATAGTTTGACATCAACAAAATAGTTTAACAAAACATACAAGCACACAGGAACAGACTGGACGGTACCTAATGTAAAGCCCTTTCTTGGATGGGATGTTTCGAACCAGAATGAGTCGCCATATTTCAGGTCATGGAACTGTTGACCAATCAGACAAGCGAGGAGAGGGCCCACTGCACCGCCATGCACGTGCTGTTCAGCTACTGCACCGGTGAAGACGTCGATGTCATCAGGGGATCTGAAGCAAGAATACATAAACGTAAGGAGATCTTGAGAAATGTCAAATAAGGGTTAAAGTATCTTTATTAAATAAATTTGTTACAATAACTCTGTACACATATAAGAGTAAATTAAATTAGACAAACCTGTATACACTTTTCAAAGCAGCTCCTGCTTTACCAAATATACTGTCATCAAATGAAGTCACTTCCGATAGCTGACATGCCTTGCGAAAGCTGTTGTATGATGGCAGGCCGTGGTCACGACCTCTCTGAATGTTCAAGGACACGATGTCAAAGCCATTATTGCCCGACGTCTCAAACAAATGCTCAGTCATCCCACTGTTGATGAATCGGTTAACCTCCTGATGTCTGTCCTTGAGGATAGCCTTCAGCACGGTGTCCAGATCTTTGATGACCTCAGAAGGCCTGAAGAAGAGCTGTTCTATGGGTACACGTCGATCTCCGAGGGTCAGGAAACGTGGAATGGTGGAGTGGCCGTATCTGAAGGCGGCGGTGGCGAAAACGTTGTAGATGGTGGGGTTTTGGGTGAAGTTGTACCTGAAGCTGAAGCCAGGGGTCAGTCTGTACTTCCTCATGGCCAAGGGCCCAACAATAATGGGCAGCCATTCGCGGTAGGTGACTTGTTGGATGATGGCTGACACGATCTTTCTGGCCTCTTCAAACAAGACTTTATCAGGAATGGTCGATGGCATGACATCAGCAAGTTCTTTGACAAGACGATTGTGTTCGCGGACAAACATGGTGTGTAGCACGGCCAGACCAGGGAACACGTTCACACGGTCGTCACCTGATGATGGAGTTAGTTATAAAGAAGTTGTGACAGTGTTGTAAATTAACCATATCATTCGAAAATTACCAAATGGTCATGTGTGAAGTACAATATGAACAGATTCTGAAAAAAGTACTACGGATACATTAATAAGTTGTATTTACCAGCTTTAAAACACCATTCGTTGGTATTGCTTGTTCGACAGTTTCCTTGGTTGGATTCTGGCAACAGGTTATCTCCCTTGATTTTCATGTAGGCTGAAAAGTTGAATGACGACATTAATTTGTATATACCAATTACTCTCTGGGGTATTTTGTCAAATTTTAAAATATTTGTTTGATCATGAATTATAATTTAAAACAAAATATTGCCTGACTTACGTCCATTCCTGAGGTGATTGATCTGATCCTGACTGAGTCCGTACACGTTAGAGGCGTCCACAAAGGACGTCAGTAGGTTCAACTGTTCTCGAGTATCTGGAAGTCACATGGTTTTTAATTAAATATGGATGTTATCATACAGTGTTGTTTATGGCTTTCGTTACTTAATAAGATGAGCATAAAAATAATGACAGAACAATCCTACGTTGAGATGAGGCTACCTTCACAGCCTTGTATTCATATACTCACTCCTTCCAGGTGCTGGGGCTGATCTTTTGAACTCCATGCAGTTCTTTTGGAAATGTCCTTCATTTACTGGCATGGTGATTGGGAAACAAGGACCGCTGGAACAGTGAAATACCAAAAGAATTAACACGTTTCCTATTTCAAATCAACCATTGTTATCATAATGTTTATGATATGTTATGATACACAAACACATGCTTATGATGTAGTCGGAATCTTATAGTAGACTTTTATAATCATGGAAAAGGTAGTCTCCCTTTCATCCTTATTATAATCATGTATACAATATCACGTAATTTTAAAGTATATTATTTCTGATTCATTCATTTAAAATATCACGACTAGTTATGTCCATTAACACAAACAGAATGATTAAGTGTGGAAAATATAGAATGTTAATTGCTTACCCAGCTCGTACATCAGAATGCATCTCTCCAGGTGTGTGACCATCGCAACATTTAGATTGAACATCACCTTGAAGGAATATAAGGATTTGTTAAGTTAATACAAAGATTTAGATGCATATCGTAATTATTGAAATAGGTTCGAAAAATATGGATCACAAGAAACAAATATATCACAGTTTGTCTGATTTCATCATCACACGTCTGGTCACTTTGATGGTCAGAGGGTATTGGCCATTTGGCACGTACCTTCATGAAGAGGAGTTCCGGTGAGATCGTGGTCCACAAATTGCCCCCACTGCATCACCATCACCGTGTGGTCGTCAGAAGGACTGTCAACTCCCGGATGGACGGCCACACTGATGGCGCGTGGACTGGGAAGGGGATAACCATCAACGCCTCTCATTCGGGGAACGAACTTGCCTGAAAAGTCAAACCTTTGCTTTTAAAGTTCACTAAAGTATGGTTAGTTGTGATATTGATGGGGCATAACTAAATGTCCCCATTGGAATACTTACAAGACTTGCTTCCAAACGGTCTGATTTATTTATGAAAATCGCCTTGGTTATAAGCATGAAATAATGATTTTTAAGTTCTAATATCAATGTGAAGAAAATCTGTTCTTTACCATCATCATATGCAGGATCAATAAATCTCTTGAATGGTTGGTTGGTTGAACCCCAGGTTGACAAGCGAACATTGTTGCAACTTCCGTCCATTGTCCGGTAGCGGGCGTCTTGTCTGCAGTCGATAGAGCGCCGTCTGTAAAAGTGAATGGTGTTATCAAGTCCAATGATAATTGGTGTAGGTATCAACTACATTAAACTCTCAACCACAAACGAAGTGTCCATATATGAGAATTAGTACGAAACTGACCTGATGGTGTGTTTGTCTTGATACTTGGATGTGCTGATGTCTTCTAAGGAGATCTGAGACGTCTCGGCGGCGTCAGCCAGTGTACAAACAACATACTTGTCTTCCTCATCACCTACTTCAAAGTAAAGGCATTAATACACTGCCTGCTATCATGGGACAATTTCAGAGTACTTTAACTTCGAAAGTCTGATCAAAGGTCGCACCATCTGAACTGGATGATGGTCTCTATTGAAAATGATGTTTGAGAACGCGTATCAGCATAATATTTGTTTTAAATAATCGGAATTTGTCATCTGTATGTCCCATATGCAATAAATCCCCTGAAACATATAAGTTTAAGTATGATCAGATTTGTCAGTTAACCCAATAGACAAATCATGGATAGTGATGCCGTTAATGTGGAATAATGAGACTTCTTACCATGCAGGAGTCTGAACAAGATGTCCATTATTCTGTTTTCTCTGTCCAGCGTTTGTCCATCAACTATTCCTTGGTGGTCACCCGAAGTCGTTGGTGAAGTTTGTAACGCACCAGCAACATCTAATAGGTAAATAAGTACAGAGTATAGAGAAATAGGGCTGTCACAGATTATGAATGCAATCACAAAAACTTTCATACTTCGCCACCCCATATTTTGTTCTATCGAGTGGCGTTAAACCGGGTTTTTGAATCCGTCTGGAAATATCAACACAAGTCATTGCATGTGCATCGTTCAGGGTATACCCAAACACATATTTATTCATCTTATCTCTTGCATATTACATGATGCCAGTTGCGTGAGTAACGCCCAAGCAGATGAAACTAAAATAGTATTATTCAATCCTTCACTATAGCTTGTCAAGATTTGGTTCATAATTTTTAAAACACTATACTCACGTTGCTCAATGACGGAATCTATGTGGTTAACCTATAAGGGAATGAGTAAACATAGGTTAAATAATCGGTCTAGGGTAAAACAGATGTGATAATCTCAAACACCGTATGCCACCCGTTACTTTGAACATGATGAGAGAAAGAAGTTTCAGAACAATAAACCCAGAGTAAGTAATTACATGACATTTCTTATATATACTGATTTTCTACAGACATTCATGACTAGCCAGATAAATACCAATACTGATAATGAGAAGAAAAGATAAGAGAAGAAACAAAACACAACCTACCTCTGTGTCCGCCTCTCCAGCAGTGACCACGGTCAACATACAAACAAACAACACAACTTTCATCGTTTCTGCTTCTGTCCAGTACAAAGTGGGAATGTCTGATACACCAAAGATGGGACCTTGTATTTATACTCATATTCCTGGATTAAATCAACACAGATTACCCCAGAATTCACACTCCCCTGCTGGGTATTATCCGACATATCTACATGGGGGAGCTAAACATCTTGGATTATGCGGAGGCAGGCTGATTATCCCGGAGCAGGGTCATCACCGTCATTGTTCTTGGTGTGGTGTATAAACATCAATAACGAGGCAGTTGGTAACTGTTTCTCACCAGGGGGTATTAACAGAGTGCATTTTTGAGATTATATATAATAGTAACATATTAATAATAACTGAAACCGGAGAAAATGTAAGTTTCTTGTTAATTGACTAAAAATAGTAATAAAATAATTCATGTCTCCCACAATCACTATGAACTTCTCCATAAGATATGTCACGTGACCGTTCCCTTGAGATATGTAGTTCTTTTAGCTTGAACATCACAAGGACCTTATCAGTGTATTCGCTTTAGGGTTACTTTTGTTTGTGTATTCGGTCTTGCTGTTGTAATCGCTCTACTAATGTACTTTGAGAACATATATTCAGTACACCATCTCTCCCGAATTCATTTTCATTCGCAGTTAAGTTGTAGTAGTAGTAGTAGTAGTAGTAGTAGTAGTAGTAGAAGGAGTAGTAGTAGTAGTAGTAGTTGTTGTAGTAGTAGTAGTAGTAGTAGCAGTATTAGGATCGATGACATGTATCAACCAAGTCAGTGAGCCGGACCACCCGATCCCGTTAGTCGCATTTTACAAGCATAGTCGCCTTTTACGACAAGTATGGGTTGCTGAAGACCAGTTCTACCCCGGAATCTTCACGGGCAAGTAGTAGTAGTAGTAGAAGTAGTAGTAGTAGTAGTAGTAGTAGTAGTAGTAGTAGTAGTAGTAGTAGTAGTAGTAGTAGTAGTAGTAGTAGTAGTAGTAGTAGTAGCAGTAGTTTGTTGTTTAAGTAACACTGTTGCAGTAGTGGTATGGAATGTGTGTCGCAAGTGTCACGTGCTCATGTCATCTGCAAAAGTTTCTCATTTCCATACTCGATGAAACATACATACTGACTGTTGCATATATCAACGTTGACAACCAGTACTAACTTTCTAGAATTATAATTGAGATATGTATGTACCACATAAAATGTACGACTTGACTTCGTGTTTATGAATAAGTGGAAAATTAGTTCCTATTAGCAATATCAATGATTGACAATTAGTTTAAAATGTTGATCCTATATGTATTATTTCATTACATTGAGGGACTAGAAAATCCTCCAGACACAAAACGTAGTGACCACTTCAATGCATTTGTCTCCCAGTACTTGTCTACAAAGCTTGTCAAGAACAACTCGTGATGAGAAGCGGATTACCAACTGTCTCATTGTTATTATACCACTCTTAGAACAATCACAGTTGATGAGGACATGCCCAGATCAACACCATTCATTAATATAATCCCGGATTAACAAGATGGAAACTTATCATGGATTATCATCAGCGACAGCAGATTACGGGATAATCTGTTTTTGTGTATTCGGCAAACATGGTTGTCGAAATATGTAAGAACAATGCCCGATCTATCCGCTCTCATATGCCAAATATCAATACAATCATTGCTTTTTAGAGCAACCTACATGTGCATCTGCATTCCTCTATAGCACGTTCAGTGCTTTTAATGTATCTTTTAAAAGTATATATATTCATATACATACAATAATACGATACAATAATACGAATATTTTAATATCCTGTATACACAGGTGTTAATATTAAATACTTGTTTTCCCATTTCTCAATGTAAAACCTTCAGTTAAGAAAATAGACAAATGTTATCTCTGAAGGGTGAGTGAGGGAGTATCTTTTTACGCCGCTTTTGACAATTTTCGAGCAATATCAAGGCGTGGGACACCAGAAATGAGCTTCACACATTGTATCCATGTGGGGAATCGAGCCCGTGTCTTCGGTGTGACGAGCGAACAATTTAACCACTAGGTTACCACACCGATCCTCTCTCTGAAGAATTCATAAGGGCGATAATGTTTCAGTTCCTGGATTATCTGTATAATATTGTTGTATATATTGCTTTTTGAGCTGGGAGTAGCGTTCACATATCCTTATCACACGGTATTCATCTTCTACACTCCTCTTATTTTTCTTCAAACATAATTCGCAATATCTTTCATCATGAGGAATATTATTGTGTCTTCCAATCTGAACACATAATCCAAAAATATTACATCTAAATTTTGCTTAATGCCAATTAATATATTTAGTTATGTTTATTGTTAGATAGTATTCAGTATTGTGAAGTGATGTATATTGTTTATAGTAGTTGCACTTTGATGAACTTTCCAAGGATGATAACAAAAAAGGTTTTATCTTACAATCAAACAACTTAAATAACATATTTCCAGGAATATTTGGGTATTTATGCTGTAATTGAGCTTTAGTGGCTTTTGAAACAAGAGTATTTGTACATACTGTCAACCTAGTAGAAAACATAATACCTAAAAAATTATAATTGGTTGATGTCTTTAGTAGCTCTCCATCAAAATACCACTTCTCATAATGTCGTAAATAACCACAATTTAGAAAAAAAAACTAATATTTCTGTCTTATCCATATTTATCTGTAGGCCCCATGATTTACTATATTTACATAAAATATCAATCTTTCTTTGCAAACCAATAACACTGTAATCAAAAATACAGAAATCATCAGCATACAATAATAACAGGAGTTCCAAATAATCTACACCTATGTATATACCTCTTACATCTGCATTTTCCATCATGGATTGAAATTCTGAAATCAACATTGCAAATAAAAACGGGCTGATAACACAAACTTGTCTGACTCCACTTAAACTATCAAAATAATCAGTAATAGTAGTGTTGGATACTCTTAAAGCTGCTTTTATATTCGAATACATATTTATCAGTACAGAGAATAATTTACCATGAATACCTTTATTAATTATTGAATACCACAGTAATTTCCTATTAAAAGAATCAAATGCTTTCTTGAAGTTTACATAAATAAAGTAAAAACGTCCCCAAATTTTAGATTGCAAAGTGAAACTATTATCCGTTGTGCAATAGCCTTTCCTAACTCCTGCCTGGGCCTCAGGTATACTGTTCAAGTGATCGGAAAAACGTTTAAGACGCCCATTTAGAATAGAGCAGAATAACTTCCCAAAAATATCCATCAAAGATATGTCTCTAATTATTAACACAGTCGAAGCTTCCTTTTTTTATGGAGTGGTACAATAACACTCTCAGCCCATTCTGATGGGAAATTACCCTTTGACAAAATAGTATTATACATAACTAACAAATATGGAATTAAAACAGTTCTGCAGCATTGGATCATGTCAGCCGTAATACCATCTGGTCCTGCAGCTTTACCCTGCTTCAGATCTCTTATGAATGATTCGATCTCTTCCTGTGTAATATCATCATTAAGAATATTATTACATCATCATCAGTACAGAAATCACACAATTGTTCATTATAGTTATTTATAACCTAATATATCTGCTCAATGATATCCGAGTCCACAAGTATATCAGTATGGTTTAAAATATTCAGTCTTAATATAATCAAACCAATCTTCTTGGCAAATCTGGGTGGAAAGAGGACCACAACTTGTCTTCTTTGTCAATGCGATTATGTTGAATATTTAGAAAGAATCTCCTTATCACCAATAACTCTAAACTTGTCTAATACATTAAACTTTTTAGTCTTCATATCCTCACAGTCTTTATCGTAGCATTTTTTATCCAGATGTAAGTTTTGATTATCTAGCCCTAGAAAGTAATCCGCATGAAATAGAACCACTATGTACAGCATTGGTCAAAGCTTCAACAGCTAAATCAACATTCAAAGACAATAAATGCATAAACTCATCCATGTGAAGTGCAGACAATGACTCAAAAACAGTATGTTTGAAGGCATCACATATTTCATTTCTCCATGTTTATCTGGGAATATTATTCACATGCATTGCATTAACATTATTGACCTGTCTATCACATCCATGGAGGGTAAGTAGGAAAGGAAAGTGACCTGATTCATAGCTTGTCAAAAAAAATAGTTGAGCATAGAACATAATCAACCAAACTAGCGCCACCTTCCTTAAAACAAGTAAATGATCCCCAGCAAATCGTCCATTTACAATATGGACAGAAAAAACGTACTACAGAAGTCTACCAGATCCCTCCCGTAATCATTACACACATCATCTCTGGTACTGCGGGGCACGTCAAATGCATCCGATACATACTCCATGTCTTATAAACATGTAATAAATCTGTTGTTGTCGTCGATAATAAAATCTTTCAAATTACCAGACCCGTGAAGATTCCGGGGTAGAATACATGTAGGTCTTCAGCAACCAATGCTTGTCGTAAAAGGTGACTAAGTTTGTCGTAAAATGCGACTAATGGGATTGGGTGGTCAGGCTCGCTGACTTGGTTGATGCATGTCATCGATCCCAATTGCGTGGATCGATGCTCATGATATTATTCACTGGATTGTCTGGTCCAGACTGTATTATTTACAGACCGCCGTCATTTAGCTGGAATATTGCTGAGTGCGGCGTTAAACGACAAACCAATCAACCAACCAATCAAATTACCACAGCGTACATTATAGTCACCAGGAAGAATAATTTCCCAATCTGGATGTTCATATAACACAGCAGACAAGCTTTTATCTAAGTACTCTAGACCCTTAGGGACTCTATTGTCTGTCATTACTAAGTACAAATGTATACTTAACAACAAAAGTTCCTGTGACATTGAATAAGATTTAATGCAAAGTTATGCTTTTTACCAAATCTGAAACAATTTCGGTTTGCTATGGATAAAAGACTCCTGTAAGTGTTCAAATGGTTTAATTTCCCATACAGACTTCAGAAAATGCGTGATTTCATCAAAAATAATCAAACCAATCGAATTACATAATTGACATAATCAATAAATAAACATAATCAGTAGCGTGTGTGTCCACCTCTGGCAAGCAACACATCTTCGTTTCATGGAAAGGACCAGGCGTCGCACAAAGTCCTGTGGGATATCTGTCCATATCTGCTGGAGCATGTTTCGAAGTTCCTGCAGTGTCTGTGGAACACGTCGAAGGTTGTCTCTCCATCTCATCCCACATGTGCTCGATTGGTGAGAGATCAGGGGAGCGAGCCGGCCAGGGAATGACATTCACGTTGTTTTGTTGAAGAGAACCCTGAACAAGTCGAGCAATTTGAGGCCGGGCGTTGTCATGTTGAAAGGTAATGCCTGGGCCATGACGACGCAAAAACGGTAGAACAACAGGGCCGATGATCTCATCGGGGTAGTGCTGTCCATTGAGATTTATCTCTACCACTATCAAACAGGTCCTCTGTCATGCTGTAATCCCACCCCATACCATAACGCTGCCGCCCCCGAACCGATCTTCTTCCATGACACAATGATTGACGTAACGTTCACCTCGACGTCGGTACACTCGAATGCCTCCATCGCTGTGGCTGAGGTGAAAACGAGACTCGTCAGTGAATAGAACTTGTTCTCAGTGCATGACCGTCCAGCGTGACGCTGTCTGCACCACTGTAGACGTGCTTGGAGGCCAGGGATGCTTCTTGCAGTCACTGTAGCTGGCAAGAATCGACTTCGTAGGTGTGTTGTTCGAATCAAGTTGTCTTGTCGATTATTGGTTACACGTGGCCTGCCACTCCGAGGATGGTCTCTGACTGCATTCGTCTGTTGCCAACGTTGCCATAAACACCTGTCCTGTGGACATTAAATTGTCTTGCAACATCACGTTGACTCGATCCTGCTTCAAGCATACCAATGACTCGCAGACGCTCATTTTCGGACAGGCGTTGTTCTTCGTAATGTTGAATAGTTACGTAATTTTGTTGCTTTTCTGAGTGGTTGTTGTCAGCACGATGCTAAACAATACTTGTTTGAAAAATACACTAAAATATTGGTGTCACAGGAACTTTTGTTGTTGACTATATTAACAGGATGCACAAAACCAACAAGTAAATTACGTGTGAGATTATATATACTCTTATCAAGTAACAGAAATATCATGTCTGTGTAGTCAATAATAACACGGCGCAGACCATGTGATAGTGAAGTGTGAACACACACAGACACGCCCTCTCGGTAGTTTACCCTCTGCAGTTCGTGTAGACACGGTACTCGGGGAACAAAGTCTCTATGCTTTCCTTTGTGCAGTGCATCTCTAGAAGACCAAAGATACTGTGATCAGTGGAAATAAACTTCAATAAAACTTCATGATTTATTCTATCAAATGCCTTTGAAAAATCAACGAAGATGCTATAAAATCTACCATTAGTTTTTGGAGAGATATTTGTGCAAATGCCTGTAATGCCAAAAAGTGATCAATAGAAAAATATCCGGATCTAAATCCAGCTTAAGGGCTTAATATTCGTGTATAATATTATTAATGTCACACCAGGATTGTAATATTTTATCCAGAATATATGTCAGAACTTTGCACAGTGAGTAAATAAGAGATATGCCCCTGTAATTATCTGTAATATAAAACAAGCTACATACATCAATGTTTGTTGATTCATGCACATGTCTATATGCTCGTTGAGAGGTCAGATGAAGTGAAATGAGGGTTAACGTCACATTCACTTCCCTAGCTACTCGCACTTTGTAAAGGGTCATGCGATTATTCATTTGACCGCTTACACATATGCTAGTTTTGTCGCGGTACCTCATAGTACACATTATCCTCCACAGTGGATATACATGCATATAGTGCTGTTCGTCCTTGATATTGCTTCCTGTATAAGGATAGAGTTCACATGGTCCAAAGCAGTGCTTCCTATACATATATATAGTTCACATTATCACAGAGGGTGCCTCCTATACCCGCATATAGTTCGCATCGTCCATGCGATACCATGCTGCTGACCAAAGCCCTAGAAACTCGCACAAGCCATGCTGCCAAACACGGCCACCCTTCCATCAACTTTCCACGAGCAACGTTGCTTAACGTCGCCTGATTTGTGACCTGTGCTTTGTACACGGGGTGCCGTACAATCAATAATGTGAACTATATGTACGCTAAGGACAATGGGGGTTATTATACATATGTAATTATAAATAAACATATATATACATATTAGGAAACTCTGCCTGGGACGATGCGAACTATATGCGGGAATAGGGGGCACACTCTGTGATAACTATATACACGAATAGCAAGCACTGCGTTTGTAGAAAGCACTGACAGCGACAATGGGAAGTATATATATGAATAGGAAGCGCTTTCTGGAATAATGTAAACTATTTGCGTGTGTAGGAAGTACTTGCAGCGAAAATGGGAAGTGATATACGTGTATGGGAAGTACTGTCTGGCATAATGTGAGCTATACACTTAGTGAAAGCACTGCTCGGAACAATGAGATTGTATGGAACATGTATTGTTAGAAACAATATGTATCTAGGCCCTGGATACTTTGTCATCATACCAAACATTAACACAAATGTGAAACGTATCAATGTACCAATCAGCCTACCAAACGGTAGATGAATAACACCAAACCAACAAATTAAGAGACAATGAATCAGAAATTCAAAAGAGAACGTGTTTATTTCAAAACGGTTGAAAAATTAACAAATACAATTGATTGTTATATATGATATAACACAAGTATTGTTCAATATTGTTTCTAAGATGATATACGAATCTTCACACATGATCACACATATATTGATAGTTGCTTTAAGCACCACATCAACAATATATTATACAATATCATACAATGACAAAAAATAAGAAACACCTCCTTTATAGATCTATGAAATAGTGCAAGTCATACATATAGAATATGTTTATGTCCTTGACGAATAAATTATACAATGCCATAAACATATACTGCCAATAATAATGCTACTTGTATGCTTTGATTAAACGCTTTGATGGTGTAACTGATGGATTTACTAACTTAATTGGTTACCAATTCGTTTTGTTCTCATAAAGTGTAGGCATTATAATCAGGTATAATGTTAACTGACATTTCCGTTAATAATTCCAGCATTATTAGTGAAATGCCATACCTAAATGTACTTGGCATTACATATTTAGTATGAAGACAGTTGAACACAAATGTCAAAAATGTAATGTATTCTGTGATTTAGGCATCTTACAAACCAGGACTAGTAGTGTGGGCTATACATGGTGGAACACCAAAATGCTATGTTTCAAATCTTCGGGGTTTATTTGTTGAACTTAAGGGTAGGCCAAGCAACCTCTCATCTCCGCCATTTGGTTAAATCGATTGTTGGAAGATCGTTGCAGGGTATCAAAGGATTGCTGTGAAATACAAAAATGTGTCACCCAGTTAAAATATTAACATTTCCGTCAGCATATTTCATATGATCTGGTTTGATATTCGTATCCTATATAACTGAATGAGCTTGAATATGTTACATTCAAAGTGTGTCACGAGGTGTAAATGGATCCAGGATACAATTCTAATTAATGTTCACTAAATGAAGTACGCCAGACATACCCTGTCGCATGTTAATATGAGGTCTGTCTGTGCGAGATAATTAATTACTGACGAACAAAGGAGATGAATGTCTTCATTGCCTACCTTTCTTTTGAGAACACTGTAAAAGGATCTCTTTGGATGGACTTCACTCCTGAATTCCTACAAAGAATTTTGGCAAAGCGCATTCGTCGGATCTCAGACAGTTGTCCTTAAATAGAAAACGCAATAAATATTTATATATACAATTACTTCTGACAGCAAGAGAGTATCTTTTTTCCAAACTATTGTCAGTGAAACACTAAAACATTTTGACATCTTGAATTAGAAATGCAATAAAATTCATATTATGATATAACATTCTCATCTTAAAGGCATATTAAGTTATCTCATAAGTACATAGTTTGACATCAACAAAATAGTTTAACAAAACATACAAGCACACAGGAACAGACTGGACGGTACCTAATGTAAAGCCCTTTCTTGGATGGGATGTTTCGAACCAGAATGAGTCGCCATATTTCAGGTCATGGAACTGTTGACCAATCAGACAAGCGAGGAGAGGGCCCACTGCACCGCCATGCACGTGCTGTTCAGCCACTGCACCGGTGAAGACGTCGATGTCATCAGGGGATCTGAAGCAAGAATACATAAACGTAAGGAGATCTTGAGAAATGTCAAATAAGGGTTAAAGTATCTTTATTTAATAAATTTGTTACAATAACTCTGTACACATATAAGAGTAAATTAAATTAGACAAACCTGTATACACTTTTCAAAGCAGCTCCTGCTTTACCAAATATACTGTCATCAAATGAAGTCACTTCCGATAGCTGACATGCCTTGCGGAAGCTGTTGTATGATGGCAGGCCGTGGTCACGACCTCTCTGAATGTTCAAGGACACGATGTCAAAGCCATTATTGCCCGACGTCTCAAACAAATGCTCAGTCATCCCACTGTTGATGAATCGGTTAACCTCCTGATGTCTGTCCTTGAGGATAGCCTTCAGCACGGTGTCCAAATCTTTGATGACCTCAGAAGGTCTGAAAAAGAGCTGTTCTATGGGTACATGTCGATCTCCGAGGGTCAGGAAACGTGGAATGGTGGAGTGGCCGTATCTGAAGGCGGCGGTGGCGAAAACGTTGTAGATGGTGGGGTTTTGGGTGAAGTTGTACCTGAAGCTGAAGCCAGGGGTCAGTCTGTACTTCCTCATGGCCAAGGGCCCAACAATAATGGGCAGCCATTCGCGGTAGGTGACTTGTTGGATGATGGCTGACACGATCTTTCTGGCCTCCTCAAACAAGACATCATCAGGAGTGGTCGATGGCATGACATCAGCAAGTTCTTTGACAAGACGATTGTGTTCGCGGACAAACATGGTGTGTAGCACGGCCAGACCAGGGAACACGTTCACACGGTCGTCACCTGATGATGGAGTTAGTTATAAAGAAGGTGTGAAAGTGTTGTGAATTATCATTCGAAATGTACCAAATAGTCATGTGTGAAGTACAATATAAAAAGATTCTGAAAATAGTACTACGGATACATTAATAATTAAGTTGTATTTACCAGCTTCAAAACACCATTCGTTGGTATTGCTTGTTCGACAGTTGCCTTGGTTGGATTCTGGCAACAGGTTATCGCCCTTGGTTTTCATGTAGGCTGAAAAGTTGAATGACGACATTTATTTGTATATACCAATTTCTCTCCACGGTATTTGCCACATTTTAAAATATTTGTTTGATCATGAATTATAATTTAAAACAAAATATTGCCTGACTTACGTCCATTCCTGAGGTGATTGATCTGATCCTGACTGAGTCCGTACACGTTAGAGGCGTCCACAAAGGACGTCAGTAGGTTCAACTGTTCTCGAGTATCTGGAAGTCACATGGTTTTAAATTAAATATGGATGTTATCATACAGTGTTGTTTATGGCTTTCGTTACTTAATAAGATGAGCATAAAAATAATGACAGAACAATCCTTCATTGAAATGAGGTAACCTACACAGCCTTGTATTCATATACTCACTCCTTCCAGGTGCTGGGGCTGATCTTTTGAACTCCATGCAGTTCTTTTGGAAATGTCCTTCATTTACTGGCATGGTGATTGGGAAACAAGGACCACTGGAACAGTGAAATACAACCATTGTTATGATAATGTTTATGATATGTTATGATACACAAACACATGCTTATGATGTAGTCGGAATCGTACAGTAGACTTTTATAATCATGGAAAAGGTTGTATCCCTTTCATCCTAATTCTAAACATGTATACAATGTCACGTAATTTTAAAGTTTATTATTTCTGATTCATTTATTTCAAATATCTCGACCAGTTATTTCCATTAACACAAACAGAATGATTAAGTGTGGAAAATATAGAATGTTAATTGCTTACCCAGCTCGTACATCAGAATGCATCTCTCCAGGTGTGTGACCATCGCAACATTTTGATTGAACATCACCTGAGGAATATGAGGATTTGTTAAGTTAATACAAAGATTTAGATGCATATCGTAACTATTGAAATAGGTTCGAAAAATATGGATCACAAAAACAAATATATCACAGTTTGTCTGATTTCATCATCACACGTCTGGTCACTTTGATGGTCAGAGGGTATTGGCCATTTGGCACCTACCTGCATGGAGAGGAGTTCCGGTGAGATCGTGGTCAACAAACTGACCCCACTGCATCACCATCACCGTGTGGTCATCAGAAGGACTGTCAACTCCCGGATGGACGGCCACACTGATGGCGCGTGGACTGGGAAGGGGATAACCATCAACGCCTCTCATTCGGGGAACGAACTTGCCTGAAAAGTCAAACCTTTGCTTTTAAAGTTCACTAAAGTATGGTTAGTTGTAATATTGATGGGGCATAACTAAATGTCCCCATTGGAATACTTACAAGACTTGCTTCCAAACGGTCTGATTTATTTATGAAAATCGCCCTGGTCATAAGCATGAAATAATGATTTTTAAGTTCTAATATCAATGTGAAGAAAGTCAGTTCTTTACCATCATCATATGCAGGATCAATAAATCTCTTGAATGGTTGGTTGGTTGATCCCCAGGTTGGCCAGCGAGCATTGTTGCAACTTCCGTCCATTGTCCGGTAGCGGGCGTCTTGTCTGCAGTCGATAGAGCGCCGTCTGTAAAAGTGAATGGTGTTATCAAGTCTAATGATAATTGGTGTAGGTATCAACTATATTAAACTCTCAACCACAAACGAAGTGTCCATAGATGAGAGTTAGTACGAAACTGACCTGATGGTGTGTTTGTCTTGATACTTGGATGTGCTGATGTCTTCTATGGAAATCTGAGACGTCTCGGCGGCGTCAGCCAGTGTACAAACAACATACTTGTCTTCGTCATCACCTACGTCAAAGTAAAGGCATTAATACACTGCTTACTATCATGGGACAATTTCAGAGTACTTTAACTTCGAAAGTCTGATCAAAGGTCGCACCATCTGAACTGGATGATGTTCTATAGTGGATAATGATGTTTGAGAACGCGTATCAGCAAAATATTTGTTTTAAATAATCGGAATTTGTCATCTGTATGTCCCATATGCAATAAATCCTCTGAAACATATGTATGATCAGATTTGTCAGTTAACCCAATAGACAAATCATGGATAGTGATGCCGTTAATGTTGAATAATTAGACTTCTTACCATGCAGGAGTCTGAACAAGATGTCAATTCTGTTTTCTCTGTCCAGCGTTTGTCCATCAACTGTTCCTTGGTGGTCACCCCAAGTCGTTGGTGAAGTTTTTGTCGCACCCTCTAATAGGTAAATAAGTTCAGAGTATAGAGAAATAGGGTTGTTACAGATTATGAATGCAATCACAAAAACTTTCATACTTTGCCACCCCATATTTTGTTCTATTTAGTGGCGTTAAACGGGGTCTTTGAATATGTCCGGAAATATCAACACAAGTCATTTCACGTGCATCTTTCAGGGTATACCCAAACACATATTTATTCATCTTATCTCTCAATCTTAGAATTCAAGAGAACATCATTATCTCCAACAATCCCTTCTTCAAATGTGTACCCCGAAGTGTAACAATGTAACCGGTGTGAACTTACTGTTCGTTGATGACTCATCAGTGACATCGTCAAGGAATTTCGTGTTCATCTGATGATCCATTCCAACCAGATCTGATTGTATTGCCTTGACTGAAGGTAAGGTAGTTTTTAGTCAAACAACTGGTATCACAAAATATAATATCCGTACATTAAAACATTCAAACTATATTTAGTGACATTGATTTCATCAAAGGTCCGTCTCTACATTGAAGGACTAAGCATAATAGTAAGTAGAAATTTGGCATCTTTAACACAGATATCTCATTATTTCAGCATATTACATGATGCCAGTTGCGTGAGTAACGCCCAAGCAGATGAAACTAAAATAGTATTATTCAATCCTTCACTATAGCTTGTCAAGATTTGGTTCATAATTTTTAAAACACTATACTCACGTTGCTCAATGACGGAATCTATGTGGTTAACCTATAAGGGAATGAGTAAACATAGGTTAAATAATCGGTCTAGGGTAAAACAGATGTGATAATCTCAAACACCGTATGCCACCCGTTACTTTGAACATGATGAGAGAAAGAAGTTTCAGAACAATAAACCCAGAGTAAGTAATTACATGACATTTCTTATATATACTGATTTTCTACAGACATTCATGACTAGCCAGATAAATACCAATACTGATAATGAGAAGAAAAGATAAAAGAAGAAACAAAACACAACCTACCTCTGTGTCCGCCTCTCCAGCAGTGACCACGGTCAACATACAAACAAACAACACAACTTTCATCGTTTCTGCTTCTGTCCAGTACAAAGTGGGAATGTCTGATACACCAAAGATGGGACCTTGTATTTATACTCATATTCCTGGATTAAATCAACACAGATTACCCTAGAATTCACACTCCCCTGCTGGGTATTATCCGACATATCTACATGGGGGAGCTAAACATCTTGGATTATGCGGAGGCAGGCTGATTATCCCGGAGCAGCGTCATCGCCGCCATTGTTCTTGGTGTGGTGTATAAACATCAATAACGAGGCAGTTGGTAACTGTTTCTCACCAGGGGGTATTATCAGAGGGCATTGTTGAGATTATATATAATAGTAACATATTAATAATAACTGAAACGGGAGAAAATGTAAGTTTCTTGTTTTTTGACTGAAAATACAAATAAAATAATTCATGTCTCCCAAAATCTCTATGAACTTCTCCATAAGATATGTCACATGACCCTTCCCTTGAGATATGTAGTTCTGTTAGCTTGAACATCACAAAAACCTTATCAGTGTATTCGCTTTAAGGTTACTCACGTTTTTGTATTCGGTTTTGCTATTGTAATCGCTAAACAAATGTACTTTGAGAACATATATTCAGTACACCATCTCTTCCGAATTCATTTTTATTAAGTTGTAGTAGTAGTATTAGTAGTAGTAGTAGTGGTAGTAGTAGTAGTAGTAGTAGTAGTAGTAGTAGTAGTAGTAGTAGTAGTAGTAGTAGTAGTAGTAGTAGTAGTAGTAGTAGTAATAGTAGTAGTAGTAGTACAAACTTTCTAGAATTATAATTGAGATATGTATGTACCACATAAAATGTACGACTGGACTTCGTGTTTATGAATAAGTGGAAAATTTGCGATTACATGTAATTGTCAGTTCCTATTAGCAATATCAATGATTGACAATTAGTTTAAAATGTTGATCCTATATGTATTATTTCATTACATTGAGGGACTAGAAAATCCTCCAGACACAAAACGTAGTGACCATTTCAATGCATTTGTCTCCCAGTACTTGTCTGCAAAGCTTGTCAAGAACAACTCGTGATGAGAAGCGGATTACCAACTGTCTCATTGTAATGATACCACTCTTAGAACAATTACAATTGATGAGGACACGCCCAGATCAACACCATTCATTTATATAATCCCGGATTTGTGGTAAAAACAAGACTGTAACTTATCACGGATTATCATCAGCGACAGCGGATTACGGGATAATCTGATTTTGTGTATTCGGCAAACATGGTTGTCCAAATATGTAAGAACCATGCCCGATCTATCCGCTCTCATGTGCCAAATATTAATACAATCATTGCTGTTTAGAGCAACCTACATGTGCATCTGTATTCCTCTATAGCACGTTCAGTGTTCTAAATGTATCTTTTAAAAGTATATATATTCATATACATACAATAATACGATACAATAATACGAATGCTTCAATATCCTGCATACACAGTTGTTGATATTAAATATTTGTTTTCCCATTTCTCATTGTAAAACCTTAAGTTAAGAAAATAGACAAATGTTATCTCTGAAGAGTGAGTGAGGTAGTATCTTTTTTCGCCGCTTTTGACAATTTTCCAGCAATATCAAGGCGTGGGACACCAGAAATGAGCTTCACACATTGTATCCATGTAGGGAATGGAGCCCGTGTCTTCGATGTGACGAGCGAACACTTTAACCACTAGGCTACCCCACCGCTCCTCTCTCTCTGAAGAATTCATAAGATGGATAATGTTTCAGTTCCTGGATTATCTGTATAATATTGTTGTATATATTGCTTTCTGAACTGGGAGTAGCGTTCACATATCATCATCACACGGTATTCATCTTCTACACTCCTCTTATTTTTCTTCAAACAGAACTCGCAATATCTTTCATCATGAGGAATATTATTGTGTCTTCCAATCTGAACATGTACACATAATCCAAAAATATTTCATCTAAATTTTGCTAAATGCCAATTAATATATTGAGGTATGTTTATTGTTAGATATGATTCAGTATTGTGAAGTGACGTATATTGTTTATAGTACTTGCACTTTGATGAACTTTCCAAGGATGAGTGCCAATTTGTTGAAGATCCTTGTTTAAATTAGTTTTAAAGATTTCAGCATCTCCCATGTTCTGCTGAATCCAGACTATACCAAATCCTAGATGAAATATAATATTCATAATTGAAGTAACCCATGTGTGTCTTCCAGCATTATCAATAGATATAAGTATAATGTAAATCTGATATGGTAGTCTATTATTGTAGAGGTGAATTAATATAGTCCAGTATTTTATATCTATTGTCATGTAAATACATTCTCTGCCAGTCTGCCACACTCTCCAAAAAACATGTTATTAAGAGTAATATTATTAAATCTAGGAAATCGTTTGCCGAATACAGTCTATGTACTTTCCATTTACTTGTTATATGAAGTTCCCCAGATTTCAGCACCATAACACAATATTGGAACTATCATGCCGTCAAACGTTTTCAAGTTGTCTTTATGTGATAAATATCCGAATTTCTTTTGATAATTAAAGATGTTGATGAGTGATTTCTTGGCTTGAGCAGAAAGTAAGTTTATTTTCTGCTTCGAAGGCCATCAGCCCATGTACACAGTTGATACAACAATATCCATAGACAGACAGAGAGACAGACAGAGAGACAGACAGACAGACAGACAGATGTTTGATGAATTTCTCAACAATACATATGCATCGCAATCAAATATGAAATGGAGTTCATCTTCAATGCTTTTAGTATTACACATCCTACAAATTCGGTTAACAGCTATAGCTTCTTTACATCTGATATTACAGCGCAACGGCAGTTCATGCAATCTCAACAAGCAGATATATCTTCTTAATTCCCTAACATTTATGTTTGTAACATAATATTCAACAGTCAGCAATGACTTAATATTCGTATAATGTGCAAGTCGTTTTGAATCATTGATAATACTAAAAATGTTTTGTTTTCCACAATCTTCTAATCTCTGTCTGAACATCGACAGAAATTATGAAATATCTCAAATATCTTGACTAACCCATCCATATCCGAAACCATACGTGTATAACAACAATCTAACAGCCCCACACCTCCGCCCCTTATAACAAAAAAAGGTTTTATCTTACAATCAAACAACTTAAATAACATATTTCCAGGAATATTTGGGTATTTATGCTGTAATTGAGCTTTAGTGGCTTTTGAAACAAGAGTATTTGTACATATTGTCAACCTAGTAGAAAACATAATACCTAAAAAAATATAATAGGTTGATGTCTTTAGTAGCTCTCCATCAAAATACCACTTCTCATAATGTCGTAAATAACCACCATTTAGAAAAAAAAACTAATATTTCTGTCTTATCCATATTTATCTGTAAGCCCCATGATTTACTATATTTACATAAAATATCAATCTTTCTTTGCAAACCAATAACACTGTAATCAAAAATACAGAAATCATCAGCATACAATAATAACAGGAGTTCCAAATAATCTACACCTATGTATATACCTCTTACATCTGCATTTTCCATCATGGATTGAAATTCTGAAATCAACATTGCAAATAAAAACGGGCTGATAACACAAACTTATCTGACTCCACTTAAACTATCAAAATAATCAGTAATAGAAGTGTTGGATACTCTTGCAATTGAGTTTATATTCGAATACATATTTCTCAGTACAGAGAATAATTTACGATGAATACCTTTATTAATTATTGAATACCACAGTAATTTCCTATTAAAAGAATCAAATGCTTTCTTGAAGTTTACATAAATAAAGTAAAAACGTCCCCAAATTTTAGATAAATATTTTGTACACGACATTGCAAAGTGAAACTATTATCCGTTGTGCAATAGCCTTTCCTAACTCCTGCCTGGGCCACAGGTATACTGTTAAAGTGATCGGAAAAACGTTTAAGACGCCCATTTAGAATAGAGCAGAATAACTTCCCAAAAATATCCATCAAAGATATGCCTCTATAATTATTAACACAGTCAAAGCTTCCTTTTTTATGGAGTGGTACAATAACACTCTCAGACCATTCTGATGGAAAATTACCCGTTGACAAAATATTATTATACATAACTAACAAATATGGAATTAAAACAGTTCTGCAGCATTGGATCATGTCAGCCGTAATACTATCTGGTCCTGCAGCTTTACCCTGCTTCAGATCTCTTATGAATGATTCGATCTCTTCCTGTGTAATATCATCATTAAGAATATTATTTACATCATCATCAGTACAGAAATCACACAATTGTTCATTATGGTTATTTATAACCTAATCTATCTGCTCAATGATATCCGAGTCTACAAGTATATCAGTATGGTTTAAAATATTCAGTCTTAATATAATCAAACCAATCTTCTTGGCAAATCTGGGTGGAAAGAGGACCACAACTTGTCTTCTTTGTCAATGCGATTATGTTGAATATTTAGAAAGAATCTCCTTATCACCAATAACTCTAAACTTGCATTTTTTATCCAGATGCAAGTTTTGATTATCTAGCCCTAGAAAGTAATCCGCATGAAATAGAACCACTATGTACAGCATTGGTCAAAGCTTCAACAGCTAAATCAACATTCAAAGACAATAAATGCATAAACTCATCCATGTGAAGTGCAGACAATGACTCAAAAACATTATGTTTGAAGGCATCACATATTTCATTTCTCCATGTATATCTGGGAATATTATTCACATGCATTTCATTAACATTATTGACCTGTCTATCACATCCATGGAGGGTAAGTAGGAAAGGAAAGTGACCTGATTCATAGCTTGTCAAAAAAAATAGTTGGGCATAGTACATAATCAACCAAACTAGCGCCACCTTCCTTAAAACAAGTAAATGATCCCCAGCAAATCGTCCATTTACAATATGGACAGAAAACGTACAACAAAAGTCTACCAGATCCCTCCTGTAATCATTACACACATCATCTCTGGTACTGCGGGGCACGTCAAATGCATCCGATACATACTCCATGTCTTATAAATATGTAATAAATCTGTTGTTGTCGTCGATAATAAAATCTTTCAAATTACCAGACCCGTGAAGATTCCGGGGTAGAATATATGTAGGTCTTCAGCAACCCATGCTTGTCGTAAAAGGTGACTATGTTTGTCGTAAAAGGCGACTAATGGGATTGGGTGGTCAGGCTCGCTGATTTGGTTGATGAATGTCATCGATCCAAATGCTTATGATATTATTCACTGGATTGTCTGGTCCAGACTGTATTATTTACAGACCGCCGTCATATAGCTGGAATATTGCCGAGTGCGGCGTTAAACGACAAACCAATCAACCAACCAATCAAATTACCACACCGTACATTATAGTCACCAGGAAGAATAATTTCCCAATCTGGGTGTTCATGTAACACAGCAGACAAGCTTTTATCTAAGTACTCTATACCCTTAGGGACTCTATTGTCTGTCATTACTAAGTACAAATGTATACTGAACAACAAAAGTTCCTGTGACATTGAATAAGATTTAATGCAAAGTTATGCTTTTTACCAAATCTGAAACAAATTCGGTTTGCTATGGATAAAAGACTCCTGTAAGTGTTCAAATGGTTTAATTTCCCATACAGACTTCAGAAAAAGCGTGATTTCATAAAACAAAATCAAACCAATCGAATTACATAATTGACATAATCAATAAATAAACATAATCAGTAGCGTGTGTGTCCACCTCTGGCAAGCAACTCATCTTCGTCTCATGGAATGGACCAGGCGTCGCACAAAGTCCTGTGGGATATCTGTCCATATCTGCTGGAGCATGTTTCGAAGTTCCTGCAGGGTCTGTGGAACACGTCGAAGGTTGTCTCTCCATCTCATCCCACATGTGCTCGATTGGTGAGAGATCAGGGGAGCGAGCCGGCCAGGGAATGACATTCACGTTGTTTTGTTGAAGAGAATCCTGAACAAGTCGAGCAATTTGAGGCCGGGCGTTGTCATGTTGAAAGGTCATGACCGGGCCATGACGACGCAAAAACGGTAGAACAACAGGGCCGATGATCTCATCGCGGTAGTGCTGTCCATTGAGATTTATCTCTACCACTATCAAACAGGTCCTCTGTCTTTCTGTAATCTCACCCCATACCATAACGCTGTCGCCCCCGAACCGATCTTCTTCCATGACACAATGATTGACGTAACGTTCACCTCGACGTCGGTACACTCGAATGCCTCCATCGCTGTGGATGAGGTGAAAACGAGACTCGTCAGTGAATAGAACTTGTCCTAAGTGCATGACCGTCCAGCATAGACGCTGTCTGCACCACTGTAGACGTGCTTGAAGGCCAGAGATGCTTCTTGCAGTCACTGTTGCTGGCTGGAATCGATTTCGTAGGTGTGTTGTTCGAATCAAGTTGTCTTGTCGATTATTGGTTACACGTGGCCTGCCACTCCGAGGATGGTCTCTGACTGCATTCGTCTGTTGCCAACGTTGCCATAAACACCAAATGGTGTTCCTGTGGACATTAAATTGTCTTGCAACATCACGTTGACTCGATCCTGCTTCAAGCATACCAATGACTCGCACACGCTCATTTTCGGACAGGCGTTGTTTTTCGTAATGTTGAATAGTTACGTAATTTTGTTGTTTTTCTGAGTGGTTGTTGTCAGCACGATGCTAAACAATGCATATGGAATCCCGTTAACGCACATGTTTTCATACCCATGCTTGGGTAGTGAAATGCATGGGACTTGCATAAAAGTCATCTTTTGCATGGAATACATGCTTTTCTGTAGCAGTTGGTTTTTTTGTGACTTGATTTCCTTGCATGTACTACAATATTGAAAACCAGACTTAACTTGTTTGAAAAATACACTAAAATATTGATGTCACAGGAACTTTTGTTGTTGAGTATATTAACAGGATGCACAAAACCAACAAGTAAATTACGTGTGAGATTATATATACTCCTATCAAGTAACAGAAATATCATGTCTGTGTAGTCAATAATAACACGGCGCAGACCATGTGATAGTGAAGTGTGAACACACACAGACACGCCCTCTCGGTAGTTTACCCTCTGCAGTTCGTGTAGACACGGTACTCGGGGAACATGGTCTCTATGCTTTCCTTTGTGCAGTGTATCTCTAGAAGACCAAAGATACTGTGATCAGTGGAAATAAACTTCAATAAAACTTCATGATTTATTCTATCAAATGCCTTTGAAAAATCAACGAAGATGCTATAAAATCTACCATTAGTTTTTGGAGAGATATTTGTGCAAATGCCTGTAATGCCAAAAAGTGATCAATAGAAAAATATCCGGATCTAAATCCAGCTTAAGGGCTTAATATTCGTGTATAATATTATTAATGTCACACCAGGATTGTAATATTTTATCCAGAATATATGTCAGAACTTTGCACAGTGAGTAAATAAGAGATATGCCCCTGTAATTATCTGTAATATAAAACAAGCTACATACATCAATGTTTGTTAATTAATGCACATGTCTACATGCTCGTTGAGAGGTCAGATGAAGTGAAATGAGGGTTAACGTCACATTCACTTCCCTAGCTACTCGCACTTTGTAAAGGGTCATGCGATTATTCATTTGACCGCTTACACATATGCTAGTTTTGTCGCGGTACCTCATAGTACACATTACCCTCCACAGTGGATATACATGCATATAGTGCTGTTCGTCCTTGATATTGCTTCCTGTATAAGGATAGAGTTCACATGGTCCAAAGCAGTGCTTCCTATACATATATATAGTTCACATTATCACAGAGGGTGCCTCCTACACCCGCATATAGTTCGCATCGTCCATGCGATACCATGCTGCTGACCAAAGCCCTAGAAACTCGCACAAGCCATGCTGCCAAACACGGCCACCCTTCCATCAACTTTCCACGAGCAACGTTGCTTAACGTCGCCTGATTTGTGACCTGTGCTTTGTACACGGGGTGCCGTACAATCAACAATGTGAACTATATGTACGCTAAGGACAATGGGGGTTATTATACATATGTAATTATAAATAAACATATATATACATATTAGGAAACTCTGCCTGGGACGATGCGAACTATATGCGGGAATAGGGGGCACACTCTGTGATAACTATATACACGAATAGCAAGCACTGCGTTTGTAGAAAGCACTGACAGCGACAATGGGAAGTATATATATGAATAGGAAGCGCTTTCTGGAATAATGTAAACTATTTGCGTGTGTAGGAAGTACTTGCAGCGAAAATGGGAAGTGTAATACGTGTATGGGAAGTACTGTCTGGCACAATGTGAGCTATACACTTACTGAAAGCACTGCTCGGAACAATGAGATTGTATGGAACATGTATTGTTAGAAACAATATGTATCTAGGCCCTGGATACTATGTCATCATACCAAACATTAACACAAATGTGAAACGTATCAATGTACCAATCAGCCTACCAAACGGTAGATGAATAACACCAAACCAACAAATTAAGAGACAATGAATCAGAAATTCAAAAGAGAACGTGTTTATTTCAAAACGGTTGAAAAATTAACAAATACAATTGATTGTTATATATGATATAACACAAGTATTGTTCAATATTGTTTCTATTTAAGATGATATACGAATCTTCACACATGATCACACATAAATTGATAGTTGCTTTAAGCACCACATCAACAATATATTATACAATATCATACAATGACAAAAAATAAGAAACACCTCCTTTATAGATCTATGAAATAGTGCAAGTCATACATATAGAATATGTTTATGTCCTTGACGAATAAATTATACAATGCCATAAACATATACTGCCAATAATAATGCTACTTGTATGCTTTGATTAAACGCTTTGATGGTGTAACTGATGGATTTACTAACTTAATTGGTTACCAATTCGTTTTGTTCTCATAAAGTGTAGGCATTATAATCAGGTATAATGTTAACTGACATTTCCGTTAATAATTCCAGCATTATAAGTGAAATGCCATACCTCAATGTACTTGGCATTACATATTTAGTATGAAGACAGTTGAACACAAATGTCAAAAATGTAATGTATTCTGTGATTTAGGCATCTTACAAACCAGGACTAGTAGTGTGGGCTATACATGGTGGAACACCAAAATGCTATGTTTCAAGTCTTCGGGGTTTATTTGTTGAACTTAAGGGTAGGCCAAGCAACCTCTCATCTCCGCCATTTGGTTAAATCGATTGTTGGAAGATCGTTGCAGGGTATCAAAGGATTGCTGTGAAATACAAAAATGTGTCACCCAGTTAAAATATTAACATTTCCGTCAGCATATTTCATATGATCTGGTTTTATATTCGTATCCTATATAACTGAATGAGCTTGAATATGTTACATTCAAAGTGTGTCACGAGGTGTAAATGGATCCAGGATACAATTCTGATTAATGTTCACTAAATGAAGTACGCCAGATATACCCTGTCGCATGTTAATATGAGGTCTGTCTGTGCGAGATAATTAATTACTGACGAACAAAGGAGATGAATGTCTTCATTGCCTACCTTTCTTTTGAGTACACTGTAAAAGGATCTCTTTGGATGGACTTCACTCCTGAATTCCTACAAAGAATTTTGGCAAAGCGCATTCGTCGGATCTCAGACAGTTGTCCTGAAATAGAAAACGCAATAAATATTTATATATACAATTACTTCTGACAGCAAGAGAGTATCTTTTTTCCAAACTATTGTCAGTGAAACACTAAAACATTTTGACATCTTGAATTAGAAATGCAATAAAATTCATATAATGATATAACATTCTCATCTTAAAGGCATATTAAGTTATCTCATAAGTACATAGTTTGACATCAACAAAATAGTTTAACAAAACATACAAGCACACAGGAACAGACTGGACGGTACCTAATGTAAAGCCCTTTCTTGGATGGGATGTTTCGAACCAGAATGAGTCGCCATATTTCAGGTCATGGAACTGTTGACCAATCAGACAAGCGAGGAGAGGGCCCACTGCACCGCCATGCACGTGCTGTTCAGCTACTGCACCGGTGAAGACGTCGATGTCATCAGGGGATCTGAAGCAAGAATACATAAACGTAAGGAGATCTTGAGAAATGTCAAATAAGGGTTAAAGTATCTTTATTTAATAAATTTGTTACAATAACTCTGTACACATATAAGAGTAAATTAAATTAGACAAACCTGTATACACTTTTCAAAGCAGCTCCTGCTTTACCAAATATACTGTCATCAAATGAAGTCACTTCCCATAGCTGACATGCCTTGCGGAAGCTGTTGTATGATGGCAGGCCGTGGTCACGACCTCTCTGAATGTTCAAGGACACGATGTCAAAGCCATTATTGCCCGACGTCTCAAACAAATGCTCAGTCATCCCACTGTTGATGAATCGGTTAACCTCCTGATGTCTGTCCTTGAGGATAGCCTTCAGCACGGTGTCCAGATCTTTGATGACCTCAGAAGGTCTGAAGAAGAGCTGTTCTATGGGTACACGTCGATCTCCGAGGGTCAGGAAACGTGGAATGGTGGAGTGGCCGTATCTGAAGGCGGCGGTGGCGAAAACGTTGTAGATGGTGGGGTTTTGGGTGAAGTTGTACCTGAAGCTGAAGCCAGGGGTCAGTCTGTACTTCCTCATGGCCAAGGGCCCAACAATAATGGGCAGCCATTCGCGGTAGGTGACTTGTTGGATGATGGCTGACACGATCTTTCTGGCCTCCTCAAACAAGACATCATCAGGAGTGGTCGATGGCATGACATCAGCAAGTTCTTTGACAAGACGATTGTGTTCGCGGACAAACATGGTGTGTAGCACGGCCAGACCAGGGAACACGTTCACACGGTCGTCACCTGATGATGGAGTTAGTTATAAAGAAGGTGTGAAAGTGTTGTGAATTATCATTCGAAATGTACCAAATAGTCATGTGTGAAGTACAATATAAAAAGATTCTGAAAATAGTACTACGGATACATTAATAATTAAGTTGTATTTACCAGCTTCAAAACACCATTCGTTGGTATTGCTTGTTCGACAGTTGCCTTGGTTGGATTCTGGCAACAGGTTATCGCCCTTGGTTTTCATGTAGGCTGAAAAGTTGAATGACAACATTTATTTGTATATACCAATTTCTCTCCACGGTATTTGCCACATTTTAAAATATTTGTTTGATCATGAATTATAATTTAAAACAAAATATTGCCTGACTTACGTCCATTCCTGAGGTGATTGATCTGATCCTGACTGAGTCCGTACACGTTAGAGGCGTCCACAAAGGACGTCAGTAGGTTCAACTGTTCTCGAGTATCTGGAAGTCACATGGTTTTAAATTAAATATGGATGTTATCATACAGTGTTGTTTATGGCTTTCGTTACTTAATAAGATGAGCATAAAAATAATGACAGAACAATCCTTCATTGAAATGAGGTAACCTACACAGCCTTGTATTCATATACTCACTCCTTCCAGGTGCTGGGGCTGATCTTTTGAACTCCATGCAGTTCTTTTGGAAATGTCCTTCATTTACTGGCATGGTGATTGGGAAACAAGGACCGCTGGAACAGTGAAATACAACCATTGTTATGATAATGTTTATGATATGTTATGATACACAAACACATGCTTATGATATAGTCGGAATCGTACGGTAGACTTTTATAATCATGGAAAAGGTTGTATCCCTTTCATCCCAATTCTAAACATGTATACAATGTCACGTAATTTTAAAGTTTATTATTTCTGATTCATTTATTTCAAATATCTCGACCAGTTATTTCCATTAACACAAACAGAATGATTAAGTGTGGAAAATATAGAATGTTAATTGCTTACCCAGCTCGTACATCAGAATGCATCTCTCCAGGTGTGTGACCATCGCAACATTTAGATTGAACATCACCTTGAAGGAATATGAGGATTTGTTAAGTTAATACAAAGATTTAGATGCATATCGTAATTATTGAAATAGGTTCGAAAAATATGGATCACAAAAACAAATATATCACAGTTTGTCTGATTTCATCATCACACGTCTGGTCACTTTGATGGTCAGAGGGTATTGGCCATTTGGCACCTACCTGCATGGAGAGGAGTTCCGGTGAGATCGTGGTCAACAAACTGCCCCCACTGCATCACCATCACCGTGTGGTCATCAGAAGGACTGTCAACTCCCGGATGGACGGCCACACTGATGGCGCGTGGACTGGGGAGGGGATAACCATCAACGCCTCTCATTCGGGGAACGAACTTGCCTGAAAAGTCAAACCTTTGCTTTTAAAGTTCACTAAAGTATGGTTAGTTGTAATATTGATGGGGCATAACTAAATGTCCCCATTGGAATACTTACAAGACTTGCTTCCAAACGGTCTGATTTATTTATGAAAATCGCCCTGGTCATAAGCATGAAATAATGATTTTTAAGTTCTAATATCAATGTGAAGAAAGTCAGTTCTTTACCATCATCATATGCAGGATCAATAAATCTCTTGAATGGTTGGTTGGTTGATCCCCAGGTTGGCCAGCGAGCATTGTTGCAACTTCCGTCCATTGTCCGGTAGCGGGCGTCTTGTCTGCAGTCGATAGAGCGCCGTCTGTAAAAGTGAATGGTGTTATCAAGTCTAATGATAATTGGTGTAGGTATCAACTATATTAAACTCTCAACCACAAACGAAGTGTCCATAGATGAGAGTTAGTACGAAACTGACCTGATGGTGTGTTTGTCTTGATACTTGGATGTGCTGATGTCTTCTATGGAAATCTGAGACGTCTCGGCGGCGTCAGCCAGTGTACAAACAACATACTTGTCTTCGTCATCACCTACGTCAAAGTAAAGGCATTAATACACTGCTTACTATCATGGGACAATTTCAGAGTACTTTAACTTCGAAAGTCTGATCAAAGGTCGCACCATCTGAACTGGATGATGTTCTATAGTGGATAATGATGTTTGAGAACGCGTATCAGCAAAATATTTGTTTTAAATAATCGGAATTTGTCATCTGTATGTCCCATATGCAATAAATCCTCTGAAACATATGTATGATCAGATTTGTCAGTTAACCCAATAGACAAATCATGGATAGTGATGCCGTTAATGTTGAATAATTAGACTTCTTACCATGCAGGAGTCTGAACAAGATGTCAATTCTGTTTTCTCTGTCCAGCGTTTGTCCATCAACTGTTCCTTGGTGGTCACCCCAAGTCGTTGGTGAAGTTTTTGTCGCACCCTCTAATAGGTAAATAAGTTCAGAGTATAGAGAAATAGGGTTGTTACAGATTATGAATGCAATCACAAAAACTTTCATACTTTGCCACCCCACATTTTGTTCTATTTAGTGGCGTTAAACGGGGTCTTTGAATATGTCTGGAAATATCAACACAAGTCATTTCACGTGCATCTTTCAGGGTATACCCAAACACATATTTATTCATCTTATCTCTTAATCTTAGAATTCAAGAGAACATCATTATCTCCAACAATCCCTTCTTCAAATGTGTACCCCGAAGTGTAACAATGTAACCGGTGTGAACTTACTGTTCGTTGATGACTCATCAGTGACATCGTCAAGGAATTTCGTGTTCATCTGATGATCCATTCCAACCAGATCTGATTGTATTGCCTTGACTGAAGGTAAGGTAGTTTTTAGTCAAACAACTGGTATCACAAAATATAATATCCGTACATTAAAACATTCAATCTATATTTAGTGACATTGATTTCGTCAAAGGTCCGTCTCTACATTGAAGGACTAAGCATAATAGTAAGTAGAAATTTGGCATCTTTAACACAGATATCTCATTATTTCAGCATATTACATGATGCCAGTTGCGTGAGTAACGCCCAAGCAGATGAAACTAAAATAGTATTATTCAATCCTTCACTATAGCTTGTCAAGATTTGGTTCATAATTTTTAAAACACTATACTCACGTTGCTCAATGACGGAATCTATGTGGTTAACCTATAAGGGAATGAGTAAACATAGGTTAAATAATCGGTCTAGGGTAAAACAGATGTGATAATCTCAAACACCGTATGCCACCCGTTACTTTGAACATGATGAGAGAAAGAAGTTTCAGAACAATAAACCCAGAGTAAGTAATTACATGACATTTCTTATATATACTGATTTTCTACAGACATTCATGACTAGCCAGATAAATACCAATACTGATAATGAGAAGAAAAGATAAAAGAAGAAACAAAACACAACCTACCTCTGTGTCCGCCTCTCCAGCAGTGACCACGGTCAACATACAAACAAACAACACAACTTTCATCGTTTCTGCTTCTGTCCAGTACAAAGTGGGAATGTCTGATACACCAAAGATGGGACCTTGTATTTATACTCATATTCCTGGATTAAATCAACACAGATTACCCTAGAATTCACACTCCCCTGCTGGGTATTATCCGACATATCTACATGGGGGAGCTAAACATCTTGGATTAAGTGGAGGCAGGCTGATTATCCCGGAGCAGCGTCATCGCCGCCATTGTTCTTGGTGTGGTGTATAAACATCAATAACGAGGCAGTTGGTAACTGTTTCTCACCAGGGGGTATTATCAGAGGGCATTGTTGAGATTATATATAATAGTAACATATTAATAATAACTGAAACGGGAGAAAATGTAAGTTTCTTGTTTTTTGACTGAAAATACAAATAAAATAATTCATGTCTCCCAAAATCTCTATGAACTTCTCCATAAGATATGTCACGTGACCCTTCCCTTGAGATATGTAGTTCTTTTAGCTTGAACATCACAAAAACCTTATCAGTGTATTCGCTTTAAGGTTACTCACGTTTTTGTATTCGGTTTTGCTATTGTAATCGCTAAACAAATGTACTTTGAGAACATATATTCAGTACACCATCTCTTCCGAATTCATTTGTATTCGCAGTTAAGTTGTAGTAGTAGTAGTAGTAGAAGTGGTAGTAGTAGTAGTAGTAGTAATAGTAGTAGTAGTAGTAGTAGTAGTAGTAGTAGTAGTAGTAGTAGTAGTAGTAGTAGTAGTAGTAGTAGTAGTAGTAGTAGTAGTAGTAGTAGTAGTAGTGCAAACTTTCTAGAATTATAATTGAGATATGTATGTACCACATAAAATGTACGACTGGACTTCGTGTTTATGAATAAGTGGAAAATTTGCGATTACATGTAATTGTCAGTTCCTATTAGCAATATCGATGATTGACAATTAGTTTAAAAAGTTGATCCTATATGTATTATTTCATTACATTGAGGGACTAGAAAATCCTCCAGACACAAAACGTAGTGACCATTTCAATGCATTTGTCTCCCAGTACTTGTCTGCAAAGCTTGTCAAGAACAACTCGTGATGAGAAGCGGATTACCAACTGTCTCATTGTAATGATACCACTCTTAGAACAATTACAGTTGATGAGGACACGCCCAGATCAACACCATTCATTTATATAATCCCGGATTTGTGGTAAAAACAAGACTGTAACTTATCACGGATTATCATCAGCGACAGCGGATTACGGGATAATCTGATTTAGTGTATTCGGCAAACATGGTTGTCCAAATATGTAAGAACCATGCCCGATCTATTCGCTCTCATGTGCCAAATATTAATACAATCATTGCTTTTTAGAGCAACCTACATGTGCATCTGTATTCCTCTATAGCACGTTCAGTGTTCTAAATGTATCTTTTAAAAGTATATATATTCATATACATACAATAATACGATACAATAATACGAATGCTTCAATATCCTGCATACACAGTTGTTGATATTAAATATTTGTTTTCCCATTTCTCATTGTAAAACCTTAAGTTAAGAAAATAGACAAATGTTATCTCTGAAGAGTGAGTGAGGTAGTATCTTTTTTCGCCGCTTTTGACAATTTTCCAGCAATATCAAGGCGTGGGACACCAGAAATGAGCTTCACACATTGTATCCATGTAGGGAATGGAGCCCGTGTCTTCGATGTAACGAGCGAACACTTTAACCACTAGGCTACCCCACCGCTCCTCTCTCTCTGAAGAATTCATAAGATGGATAATGTTTCAGTTCCTGGATTATCTGTATAATATTGTTGTATATATTGCTTTCTGAACTGGGAGTAGCGTTCACATATCATCATCACACGGTATTCATCTTCTACACTCCTCATATTTTTCTTCAAACAGAACTCGCAATATCTTTCATCATGAGGAATATTATTGTGTCTTCCAATCTGAACACATAATCCAAAAATATTTCATCTAAATTTTGCTAAATGCCAATTAATATATTGAGGTATGTTTATTGTTAGATATGATTCAGTATTGTGAAGTGACGTATATTGTTTATAGTACTTGCACTTTGATGAACTTTCCAAGGATGAGTGCCAATTTGTTGAAGATCCTTGTTTAAATTAGTTTTAAAGATTTCAGCATCTCCCATGTTCTGCTGAATCCAGACTATACCAAATCCTAGATGAAATATAATATTCATAATTGAAGTAACCCATGTGTGTCTTCCAGCATTATCAATAGATATAAGTATAATGTAAATCTGATATGGTAGTCTATTATTGTAGAGGTGAATTAATATAGTCCAGTATTTTATATCTATTGTCATGTAAATACATTCTCTGCCAGTCTGCCACACTCTCCAAGAACCATGTTATTAAGAGTAATATTATTAAATCTAGGAAATCGTTTGCCGAATACAGTCTATGTACTTTCCATTTACTTGTTATATGAAGTTCCCCAGATTTCAGCACCATAACACAATATTGGAACTATCATGCCGTCAAACGTTTTGAAGTTGTCTTTATGTGATAAATATCCGAATTTCTTTTGATAATTAAAGATGTTGATGAGTGATTTCTTGGCTTGAGCAGAAAGTAAGTTTATTTTCTGCT